GTTGCAATCCAGTCGTGCACCAAAGCCGCCGCTCAACACAGCGCTCCAACCGCACCGCATGCCCATCCCTCCGCGCGTTCCCCTTGCCCCGCCCTGACTGTCGCATACCCCACGCAGGCCTTCAGGATCTCCCTCCCGAGCAGCGCGCCGCCCGCCGCCCCTCCGCCCGCCCCGCTCAAGCTTCGCATGACGGTGGCGCCCAGCGGCGCGCTTGGCGCGCTGCCCAAGAAGCCCGACGCGGACACGGCCAGCGGCGGCGGCGGCGGCGGCGGCGGCGGCGGCCGGGCTCCCACCGCCGGATCGCTGCCGGCGCGGCGCGCCTCGCCGGCTCCGCCCTCGCCTCCAGCGGCACCACTCCTCGTGCCGTTGGCGGAGGATGCGGAGGAGGAGGGCGTTTTCTCGCAGACTGCTCGGAGCTCCCCCGCCAAGGTCGACGCCAAGGGACCGCCAGCGAGGCTGCGGTCCGGACGCGTCACTGGACATGTCCGGGGCACGGCCGCTGGGCATGTCCGCGCCGCGACCCCCGAGGAGGGGGGTGCGGCGGCAAGGACGAGGCCGCCACCGCGGGCGCCGGTCCCTAGCGCCGCGCCCACCGCCGCCGCCGCTGTCGCAGCTGTCGCCGCCGCCGCTGCCGCCTCCGCCGCCTCCGCCGCCTCCGCCGCCACCGCCACCGCCGCCACTCAAAACGGGTCGGCGGCGCGGGGTGGGAGGCCGCCTACGAGGAAGACGGCGCCGCGCGCGGCCGCCTCGGTGCCCCTCGGGCTGCGGCCGGGCGACAAGCGGCAGCGGCACAACGGCCTCGCCCAGCTGAGCACGACGGGGTCTCGTCTCCAGGTGTGGACGGGCTGATGTGTGTGGGCGGGTGGGATTGCGATGGAGCGCGGAAGGGCGTGTTGGTGGGCGACTCGCTCCGCATCCTCGCCACGGGTCCACGGGTGGAACCGGCTTTTGAGAGTGAGACCGGCCCTATAGTGCCTGTGTCCCTCTTCATTACCTTCACGGTGCGCGAGAAAATGCACAACAATGTGGCAATCGTGGAGCTGGCTTGCGGCTTTGTTTCAATGCGGACAAAAAAAGAAAATCGTGTCGAAGCTCGAAACTGTGCAGTAGGCACCCGATTCATCAAAGCTTTGAACACTCCGCAAGCGATTGCCTCATCAAGCTTGGAGACCTCTCTGCTGCGTCCCCAACTGGTACATGTGTGTGTTGTGGCGCCTGGCCACACCTCCTGCTCCGACGGGCCCCATTCTCGACAATGGAGGGCTGCAGGGCCGTCATCATTTCAAGAGGTTGGCAGGCGTGAATCTTGACGTAGAGTCGACACGCTGGAGGCAGCGCATCTACCCCGGCCCTCATCATCAGTTCTCCTCGCCGCTCTCCTCGCCGCCGTTGCATTCGACGCACATGTACGCGGGCTCGGTCCACGACGTGTCATACACGACGCACCGGTAGCAGAACGTGCGCTCGCAATCGATGCACCCGCGAAAGAATGCCTGGCTGCAAGGCTCGCAGTACTTTTGCATGCAGTGCATGCAACGGCGAGGGTCATAAAGGGGCTCCGGAGGTGTCACCGCCTCGGCTCCCGCCTCCGACACCTCAACGCACATGGCACACTCACGGAGGCGGGCATCGTCGCGAAGCCTACCCGGGTAGCGGTCCTCTTTGAGGACACGCAGCGACTCGACGCTTGCAGCGAGCGACTCGAGTGTCGCAAAGGCCGAGGCGTCGAAGAGCGTGGCCTTGACGAGGCCCTTCCGGAAGACGGCGCGGCGCAGGTCGACAGTACGCAGGACAGTCGAGCCTCGGAGCGGCTCCAGGCCGCTGCCGTCGATGCGAGTGCAGCCAGCGAGGCTAACGGTCTCCGTGTGCTGCTTGGCCTGGACGCGCTCGAGCAGCTTGGCCAGCATCCCGTCCGTAAGCTTCTCGGCACCGGAAGGTGGGAAGCTGATGTTGGTCCAAAGCGAGCCGTTGCTTGCAAGCGCCCGCACAACTTTGTTGCAGCGGGCGAGGCGGCAGAGGTCAACGAGTTGGAGGGTCTTGCAAACCGCCAGTAGGAGGTCTTCGGCGAGGTCGAGCAGGCGGAGGGCCAGGTCGCCGACCGCCGGCGGAGGCGGCGGCGGCCAAGGCTCCATTAGCCAAAGGGAAGCAAAATGATTGCGCGGATAATTTTCTTTTTTCGTCCCGTGCCTACCAGGTACTCGATAGTGTCGAGACGATGTTACTACCTTACTAGTTACTTTATTGGTGCAGAGAGAAGAGGAGGAGGTGGAGACAAGGGGGAGAGTCGAGATAAGGGAGAGTCGAGAGAGCAGAGAGCAGGCGGTCCTCTCTAGCATGCCAATGGCCAATGCCACTGGGCCTCGTGTCTTGCAGCCAGTGCGGACTGTGTTTTAGGATATCGCGGATTATCCAGCGACAAAGTGCAAAAGCGACGACACGATAATCGACATGGACAGAGGCTGAGAAGAAGCTACTTAGTACACACCACGTACAACGGGCCCCCGAGCCCTCCCCCTTTCCAACGGCGCACACACACATGACAGACAAGGTATAGGGCTACCTGATGGTCATCGAGTTGAGGATCGACTCCTTTGCGGCGGCTCGCTCCTTCTTGGACGCCTCGCCGCCCGAGAGGATCTTCAAGAAAAAAGAAAAGAGGCCGCGCGTCAAAACGTGCAAGTGCTGTCTCACGACACTAGGCACGGGAATGGCTCGCACTGGAAAAAGAAACCCGGCCGTGTTACGTATTCCTCAGCACGACCCGCCCCGATTGCCACTGCACGCGTCCCGACAACCGCCCGCCGCCGGGCGCACTGTAGACGCTCTCACAGCTTTGTCGAGAAGGAGCGCCGCCGAGAGGGCGTTGGGCAGACAGGCAGCGCCTGCGCCGCTCGCGCGGCGCCCTCCGAGATCGCCGTCACGTCCCTGATGGCTGCTGCCATGGCCAAATCGCCCTCCGCGTCGGTCGCCGACGAGAGGTTGGAGCAGCTCCGCATCGCGAGCGCCGCAGGTGGCGGGGCGGTCTTGCCGCCGGCCGCGAGAGGGGGGCAGGTCTTGGCGCCCGCCGCAGCGATGGAAAACCCGTTGGCCTGGCGCAGCGCCGCGATCCTCGCGCGACCTTTCGCCGTGTCGAGCGGGTTTGGCAGCGGCCGCCCGTCGCTGCCTAGTGGCGGGGCGCGGCCGAGCAGCGCGTCGCGGCGCCGGCGCAGCTCTCTCGACTCGGTGGACTCGCCGCCAAAGAGGCAGGCGCACAGCGACTCGACTAGGCTGTGCGTGAGCGGCGCCTCGCAGAATGCCGCGTCGTCCGCGGTGAACTGCCGGTTCGAATGCATGGTGATGGTCTGCGGGGCCTATATTCTCAAATATTCTGTTAAATATTCTGTTAGTGCCAGTGGCAGTGCGCGCCAGTCCCGTGCCCAGTGTTGTGCGAGGGAGTTTTGTTGCAAGATTCTCAAATATTCTTTATATTCCCGCTGAAAATCGCTGAAAATCGCTTCGAAAAAGAATATAGAATCGGAAGAATACCGTATAAAGGCCAAGGGGGCGGTAGGGGGGACGGCGAAGTTAGTTGGGAGGGAGGGGGCGATAAAGGAAGAGGCAGCTGAGGGGAAGGCGGGCCAAGCGGGGAGGGAGGAGACGACCTCGGGGAAGGCGGTGGAGGAAAGGATGGCGAGGGAGGTGACGGGGAAGGCGACGGCAGAGGGAACCGCAAGAATTCTTCTGCCCAGCCAGCCGACTGCTGTGGCCTTTTGTGGTGCGGTCCGTGCCAGTCTGCTGTGAGAGGGCTTGTCTTCAACGTTGTTGAATGGCTCGAGCGTGGGAGCACGCCATCGGTCTGCGATCGGTGGACGCGTTCTCGCAGCCGAAGCAGCTCATCGAGCTGCAGCCAGTCAGCGCGCCGCGGTCGGATCAGTCAGCCCCGCTGCCTTCAAGGCGAGAGGAGAGGCCTGGTCGGCAGAGACGGTCCGTGCTCATCTACCTCGCCGCGGCAGCGCTCCTTCTGGCCCTCCTCGCCACCATACTAATCATCGAGGCGCTTCGCATGAAGAACCCGCCACCGGCGCCGCCGGCCGCCGTGCCACGCGGCTGGGGAGGCCGCTTCGGCGTGAACCTTGGGGCCGTCTTTGTACCGGAGCCCGGCTTTGCGGCGTCCCTCTTTGCGGAGATGCCGCGCCCTTCTCCGTGGGACGGCGACTGGGCCTCTGTCGTGCAGGCGGCTGGCCTGATTCTGCAGTCGCACTGGCTCTCCCTCTGCACCACCATTTCTCCGCTCTGTGCGATCTGCTGTGGATCTGTTGTGCAACCGCCGCGCCTCTCCCCCTCTACCCATCATGTGCAACCGCCGCGCCTCTCCCCTACACCCATCCTCTCGACACCTCCCTTGCTGTCATTTCTCTGTGCTGCGTGCAGGCGACGGGCCGCGAGGCGGCGCGAGCTCGCTACCTCGCACACATCGACCGCTACATCGACGGACCGCTGCTGGCCGAGCTTGCGGCGGCGGGCAACACTCTGCTGCGCGTGCCACTCGGATTTTGGAACCTACTCGCGTTCCCAGGGCCGGGCGGCTTGCGCCGCCCTCGTCGCCGCCCGTCGCGCGGAGCCTTCGCTGAGCCTTGTCGGATCCTCGCCTCAGGCGGCCTTCACGGCTGCCTCGACCCCTCCACCGCACCAGCTTCGCAGCACGTCAAGCACGCGGCGGCGGCGGCGGCGGCGGCGGCGGCGCACGAGGCCGTGTGGAGTCTCAGCTCGGACGCAGGCGCGGCTCCGAGATCGCACGAGATCGCACGAGATCGCACCCGAGATGGCACCCGAGATGGCACCCGAGGTGCCCTGAGATCCAGGTGCCGACTATCTGCCGCGGCTGGAGCGGCTGCTCGTTCGCGCCGAGGCCGCCGGCTTCACGGCCGTACTGCTGGACATGCACGCGCCTGCCTGCTCGGCGAACGGTGCAGGGCTTATTGTTCTGGGACTCTTGCCAGGGGAGGGTATCGCAACCGTTGGAGCGGTGGGCCTCCCGGCATCGCCCGGCATCGCCCAGCATTGCCCGAGATCGCCCGAGATCGCCCGAGGTTGCCCGCTCTTGCGGCCAGGCGAGGAGCACGGCGCCGTCTCGCTCGAGGGCAGCAAGGGGCTGCTCCTCGCTAGCGCAACGGCGCGCACGCCGAGAGGAGAGGCCTCCCGCACAGAAGCAGCTCTTGAGGTGCCCCGGGGGTGGCAGGGGGAAGCGGCTAGGAGCGCAACCTCACGCTCCGAGGTTCGCCGAGATACACCGGGATGAGCCGAGGTGAGCCGATGTCAGGCGCGCAACCTCACGCTCCGCGCGACGGCGGCGATGGCGTCGCTGCTCGCCTCGCGCACCCGCCTCGCGTGGCGCGCAGTCGAGCTGCTGAACGAGCCAGGCGAGCGAGCAAGACTCCCACTTTATGGACCCCCTCGGACCCCCTCGGACCCTCTCTTACCCCCTCGGACCCCTTCGGAACCCTTCGGAACCCCTCGGAACCCCTCGGACCCCCTCGGAACCCCTTCGGCGCAAGGCGAGGCGCCGTCTCTCTACGCGAGTTACTACGAGGCGGCGGCCGCCGTGGTGCGACAGCACGCAGGCGATGTCGTCCTCTGCGGCTAAAGCACGAGTCCTCGGTTGACTGACCATGGTTGGAGCTGAGCAGGCGTCGATGTCGTCCTCTGCAGCTGGACCTACCAGCTCGAGGAGCTCGCGCCGATTGCGTCGCGGCTCGGCGCGTGGATGGACGTGCATATCTACCACCATGTCGCGCGGGCGGCGCCGGAGCTCTGGGCGTCCGAGTTCGCCTCTGACTTGCGACAGATGGCCACGGCCGCCCGCGCGAGCGAGGGAATAGCTCCGGCTCCTCCAAGCCGCCGCCGGAGGAGGCGGTGCCTGCTCACGGTAGTAACGGCTGTGAAGTAGGCCGGTTGCTCGTCGGTGAGTACACTCTCGCGCTCGCCGGCGGCGACGGAGAAGGCGGGGGGCCCTCTCTGCGCCCGCGTGTCACAATGTGTGGAATGAGCTTGACACGACCGTGACACAGGCGGTTCGTTCACCGATTTCGAGCTGTTGCAGTACGCACGCTGGCAGGCAGCTGCGTTCGCCGCCGCCGGCGCGGCGGCGATGGCGTACTGGAACGCCTTCTGCGAGCTGGGGGAGTCGCCGTGGGGATATCGGCGCGCGTCGTCGCCACTGGCGGCGCAGGATTGGTGCCGGTGGGTGTACGGTTTTGCCTCAGGGGAGGGTGAGTGCCCTGCGGCGTGGGCGCCGCGGGCTCCCTCGCCCGGAGAGCTGGCAACCACAAACGACAGCAGTTCAGGCGGAAGCCTGGGGCCGGGGTAACTTATACGAGGCCTTCGTTTCTGAGAAGAAAACTCCCCTGGCCAGACTCCAAGCTGCAATCTGCAAAAGCACACAACCGAGAATCTCTGTGGGCTCTCTGCGGGAACTCTGCGGGTCAGGGGCCGCGCCCCGCGTTCCATATAAGCGCAGACCTAGAAGTTAAGTTCAAAAAGAATTTTACAAAAAGAACCACATTGTGCGAATATCTTGTAAACCGAGGAAGGCCTGCGCAGCCTCCGTACATTTCATATATCTTGGCCACGGAAGACAACGCACTAAAAGCGTTGCACGAGCAGGAAGTGAGTCTTCTCACTCACTTCTTGGCGCCGTAAGCGGGTACCTCCTTTCCCCCTCGCCTTGGCGCCTGCGCCATGATCTCGCGCAGCGTATCCTCCATGTGGTCGCGCAGAGCCTCGACGACCTCAAGCCCCCAGAAGGATGAGCCGACGAGCGTCGTTGTCTTGCCGTTGACGTTGATCGTGTTCACGCCGAGCCAGAGCGGCGCATTCCAGTTCCAAGCCTCAAAGGCCGGATTGGCGTTCGTCCGCACGCCGTAGTTGTTCATAAACAGCGTGCGGTCGAAAACGTGCGCATCGTCGTTGTACGTCGGCACGCACTCGAACGGCGCCGCGCCGCAGTTGATGAGAGGGCGGGTATTTTTTCGTTTCGCTGCGCGGCCTGTGTGGGAATAGGTAGGTAGGTGGGGCACGGAGCCTGGCGATTGGCGCCCGCAATAGGTAGGTAGGTAGGGCGTTTTGGTGCGAGTCATGGGCAACTGACCCCCTATCTGGGTAGGAGCCGCAACCCAGGCTCAACATAAAAAAGAATTCGGGCGGCCAACTTTGGTCGTTGCTCTGCGGCTAGCGGCTGGGGGACGCGCGCAAGTCGCAGCGGCCTTGGGTGTGAGGCTGCCAACTGCACTCCAAGTGCTCCAAGGTCGTCGGGCCGCCGCCATGGCACGCATCACGAGCGTCGCCGCATTTGGCCCCGCAGCACCAGTCTACGACTGGCAATCGGCGCACTGTGCTTCCGGTCGGCCACTCGCGCCGTGCCACCCGTCGCCCTGCCAGCAGTTGCCCTACCGCCGCGACGTTCCCGACGCGCCGGCGATGGCGTGGAGAGACCCAGTCTCCAACCTCACCTTTATGGCACCTGGCGATTCGCGCGGTACTTGGCCTTCTGTCGGTCCGAACCTCGACTCGGTCAAACACGACTGCAGCCTGATGATCTTCAACTATTCTGGTCCGTCCGGCTTCCTGCAGCCGGCGGCAGACTTTAGTAACCACGAGTGGCTGTACGCGCCGTACGTTGTGCCGCCAACATCAGAAAGCGGCAACAGCACCTTGTTCATGCTGGTGCATAACGAGTTCCACGGCTGGGAGCACTCGCCTGTGCTGTGCAATGCGACGAGCATGGTCGATGGCCGCTGCTGGTACAACTCTGTCAGCCTCAGCGTGAGCCACGACGGCGGGCGCACGATTCGCCACGCGGCACCGCCACCGCGCCATCTTGTGGCGGCGTCGAGCGAGGTGTACGCGCCCAACCACGGGCCCTACGGCGTCTTCTCCCCGTCCCAGATCGTCAAGCACCCACGCGACGGCCATCTCTACTCTTTTCCGAGGTGTCGCTCGAAGGACGGTGCGACAGACGGCGTCTGCCTCATGCGCACGACAGAGGCCGCCCTGCCGGACCCCTCGTCGTGGCGCTTTTGGCAGGGCGGCGGTGCCGAGGCCTTCACGGGCACCTTTGTAGACCCCTACATACAGCGGGGCCTGACGGAGCCGGCGGTGCTTCGGTTTGGCAACGAGAGCAGCAGTCCCAGCCAGCCTGTGCCGCGCTACCTACCGAAGCTTGACCTCTTTCTGCTCGCGGGCTACTGCGACATGCCGGGTGCGCCCGCACGTGCGCACTTTGGCGTGAGCTACGCGCCGGAGCCATGGGGGCCATGGTCACGGATGCAGCCCATCACGGCCGTGAGCGTTGATCCGACCAAGGATGAGCCGTTCATCCGGGGCCTTTACCCCTCGCTGCTGGATCCCAACTCGGCGAGTTATAACTACGACACGATCGAGGGCGACGAGGCTTACCTTTACTGGGTGCAGGGTCGCAACAAGGAGGTGGTTCACGCACCCGACATGGCCCGAGACCTCTGGAGGCAGAGGGTGAAATTCACGTTTGGAGCGGGGAAGAGCGCCGAGGAGTCCTCTATGCATGCTGGGTCGCAACCGCACCCCGCTCGGGCGAGCCTGGCCGGCTGGCTTAGAAGCTTTGGTAGGTAAACGACTTGATTCGAGGCCAGCAAAAACATCAGCATTTCCATTCGACGTCTTGCACTTGCTCGTATGCGTTCCGATTCGTTTCGGTTCGTTTCCCTGCGGGCGGACCCTCATCACAGATCACAGATCACTTGGAGTGCGGTCAGCCACCTCACTCCTCACATCAGGTAGGTAGAAAAGGTGAGAAGAACAGTGAGGCTCGGACTGGACTCGAGGGACTGGACACATCCTGGGATGCTCGAATCATCCGAAGATGCTTCGCATCCCAAGATGCTTGGCAAATAATGATTAAAATGCATTTTAAATTATAAAGACTTGAGCGGCGTGTGAGCCCTTGGATCAAAGTTGGAGTGGAGACTAATGCTAATTTCAGTTGCTCTGCTAAGTGAGATGTGACTAACTACTCTGTCGTCTGTGGAATACTACTGATGGTGATCGAACTGGGAGCCAGTGAGTGATGGTGGGGGGCACTTAGCCCTTGTGCTAATGCTGACTTTACTAACATGGACGGTTGCGGTTAGCACCCAAGGTGCCAACCAAGGGCACAAACAACAATACAACAACACAGGCGGGCAGCGGCGCCAACGACTGCGCGGGAGGGCGCCGCTGTGTTAGTGCCAGTGCGCGCCAGTCCCGTGCCCAGTGTCGTGCGAGGAGTTGGCTTACAAAATTCTTCTTCTGGCGCCGGACTGGGAGTCTTTCCTCACGTCGGATTCTGTTTCTTCTTCTGCGTCATCAATCATCTTCGTGCGATTCCTGCGATGCTTTTCGTACCCATAATGCTCCTCCCTCCCTCGCCCGGCGCACGCGGCGCACGCCTAACGGCGCCGTTCATGCAAGGGCCGCCTTCGCAATGGAGGGTGCAGCAGCTTACAGAGCAGCAGCAGACGGAGCCACAGATGGCGATGCAGCCGCCACCGATGCAGCAGCAGAAGCACCACCACCACCACCAGCAGCAGCAGCACCAGCAATCGCGTGAGCCGCTCCACCGGCGGCTACTGCAAAGCGGCTCGGTCCGAACCTGGCAAGGGTCGGCCCACGACGACCAGGCCGACGTCTCCATCGGCACCGCCGGCCGGCCGCTCGACGCTGAGGTCGAGCTGTGGGAAGGTCCCGGGCACACGCCGGTCAAGACCCGCGTGTGGAGCGAGGACGGACGCGCCCGCCCCTTCCGTGGAATGGTGCACCCTGGGGGCCGGGAGCACTCGGTCGCCGTCCGCAACCACGGTCGCCTTGAGCCGGCCCTCCGCGCTGATGGGATGCACCCTCTCCCAACCCTGAACCGGAGCCTGCTTTAGGCCCGCTCGAGTTCCCGGCCGCAGCCGCCGTCGCCGACGACTTGGGCCCGGCCCGCCCGCCGCCCGCAAATGGCTACGAGGGAGCCGCGCTTCACCCGGGCCTGGTCGTCGGGGACAGCAGCACGAGCTCAGACCGCATCCAGGGCGGCGCGCTGCGCACCTTTCGGGTGGACGCCGCGGTAGCGAGCGTCGAGGTGCGCCTCCTGAGCGAGGGGTACCCCATCTACGGGGCCATCGAGGTGCTGCAGGGCCCAAACACCGAGAGGCAGGTGATCGAGCTCTACTCGGAGAACGGGCGCGATCGGCCCATCTCGTACCTGCTTGAGACACCCGGCTTCGGCTGCGTCGTCTCCGTCAAAAACACGTGGCCGTCGATGGAGTACCCGATGACGGCCCTCGTCCTCCCGCACGTGGTGAGCCCGCGCGGCTGGGGCGGCTGGCAGGCCGGACAGCGCCGCGACGGTTACGATGGCGTCGGTGTCGGCGGGCAAGGCGGCGGGCAAGGCGGGCGGCGCGGGCGCTCGCGGGTCCGTCGCGTCTCACCTTCTCGGAAGCCTTCTCGGAACTCTCCTCTAGGCGGGCGGGATGCGCGGCTCGGCGGGTTCGGGGACGGCTACGGCGGCGCCGGCGCCGGCGGGTACGACCCGCGGGCGGTGCGTGGCATGGTCGTGCCAAAGCTGCAGGACCAGCGCGGCCGAGGCGCGCCTCCCTCGCAGGCCGGCCGCGCTGCGGGGAGCGGCGCGTACGGGCGGGACTTTGGCAGGGGCTAGGGAAGCTCTTGCTGCGTACGTCTGCTTGTGGTGTGGCTGGTCTGAATCTCTCTGCACAGCTCGACCTGCACCGTGATTGGGGATGAAGGCGGTGTCACTTCATGAAGCCCAGGCGGTGTCACTTCTGCACCGTTGTAGGAGGGCCGCGACTGTACAACGTGTGAGTGCGCGAGGTGTGTTTCTTTTTAAACGTCAAAAAGTCAAGCCTGAGTGTGAGACGGATCACGCCGTAGATTGGGATGACACGGGTCAGCGAAGGGTATGCTAGAAGGGATGAGCGATGTGCGTGCGCTGCGGCTGTATGAGCTATGACGCGCAGTGCCGCCAATCGGACTCGACGGCACTACCTAGGTAGTGTGCCCCCCAAGTGTATTTTGTAATTCACGAGAGGTACCATGCGGAATCCACCTCATCCCAGTGCAACACAGGTAGTCGACTAGTCGAAAGTCGAAACTTTGGATTGCCCTGAGCAAGTCCCCAAGGTGCACTCGAGCCCAAGCAAGGACATTGGACATGGCAGGCATCCTCCCGAGCACGCCGGAAGCAGCCCGGGCTGAGATCGAGCGACTGCTCGCCAATGTTCCTGGCCTCGATCTCTCCATACACCAAGAGCTGTTGGCAAGCGACGGACTCTCGCAGATCGTGCACATGACGAATGGCAACTGGACAGAGGTGCGCGTGCATGGGAGACTAAATGGTTTCCCCGCATCAGCCTTCCTCCTGGCGCTGGAGGACGAGGAGCTCGCAAGGCATCTTCTCATGCGGGCTGTTGAGGCTGTAGCCGAGCAAGCCCGGACGCCAGGTGAGAGGCGCGTGGATGCCTTAGTTGAGGCGGCTGAAAGAGGGGACGAGGATCAAGTCCGTTTCTTGCTAATGTCGGAGGTTGACGAGGCCGGCGAGTACCCTGGCGTACCGCCAGATGCAGCCAGCAGGCTCTACGGAGGCACACCGCTGTCTTGCGCGTGCTGTCTCGGCCACACTGGTGTCGTGCAACTCCTTTTGGACTATGGCGCGAGCGTCACCCTGCGCCCTCCGCCGCGCGGACCGCTCTTTGGTTCGTGGCTTCCTCTCATGATTGCAACTCAGCACGTGCCTGAAATCGCTGCAGCGATATGGTTTGAGGGCCCACAAGGACCTTGGGCGCAGAGGGACCCTCTCGACATCGTTCGGCTGCTCCTTGCGGCCGGGGCATCGCCAGAGGCGGTGGAGGATGATGTGGAGGGCTCGGGACTCGAAGGATTGACTCCAGCCAGCCCGCTCGCCTACGCCGCCGCACTGGTAGACCGTCCCCGTCCCGACGACCCGCGGGACGGGCAGTGGCCAATGCCCATGGAGGTGCTTCGCCTCTTCAAGCAGACCCGCCGCTCCAGGTTGTGGGCGCGCTTGCGGCGCATCGCTCCTCGGGTGGGCTGGTGGCGCCGCGCTTTGATGCGGCTGTTTGAGGACGGAATAGAGGTGCACTATCGACCCGGACACGAGGGCGCGAGGCGCTGCCAGTTGGAATTCGAAGATGCAGCCGCGATCGTTCGGTGACGTGAAGCAAGTGCCAAGTCCCCCCCGAGGCGGGCGAGACGATTGTGGGGTCCCTTGCCAGAAGGGATCGGCCCGTTTATGTGCTCAGCCTACTCTATTTTAAAAGGGAGAGGAAGGAGAAGCGGTAGGGCCCCCAAAGCGCGCCTCCCTCTCCCTTTTCTCCCCCTGTATGTTGTTGGAAAAGAAGAGAGAGAGCCCCCGGGAAGGGGAAACGCAGATTTACCCGGAGGAGGAACTGCTGACAGCGGCAGGTTGGGCAACGATGAGTCTCCTGGGGATTCTTTGTCTACGTGGTGTACCTATGTTAGTGCCAGTGTGCGCCAGTCCCGTGCCCAGTGGCGTGCGAGAGAGCATACTCGCCAGCGTAAAATTCTTGTGTAGTGGCAGTCCCGTGTGTGCGAGATGAATGAAATTCTTTGTGTTTGAGCGGGACTTCCCGATTTGGACGCGGAGAGGGCTGGGGCACAGGGCACAGGGGATCTCTCGTGTTCGCACACAAAATTCTTTGTTTCATGTTTGAGCGGGACGGTGGAAGGCAAGGACGCTCAGCGACTGTGTTTCAATAGTGCTTCCAGACTTATTATACGTTGTCGCCTCACGCACTATTTAAGAGGAATCCATTCCCGATATGCCATTTGGAAAAGGTAGCCCGCGCGGGCGCGGGGCGCGCGGTAGTCTTTGTTGCCTCACGCACTATTTAAGAGGAATCCATTTCCGATATGCCATTTGGAAAAAACCCCTAGTCTAGCGGAAATTTTTGGTGTGTCGTGAATGATCGCCGAGTATCGCCTAAAAACCCCGAGAATCCCCTTTTATCGCCTAATATCGCGCAATATCGCGTACCCTCGCGGCTCGCGCGGCACCCCTCGCGCACCCTCGGCCCTCGCGCACCTCGCCTCGAGACCCTCGCCCTGGCGGCGGAGCGGATTTCTTTGTTTTCGGAGGAGACCATCTAAAGCTGGCGGCGCAGCCGGCGCGGCGCGCCTGCGGCGCGCCGTGGTTTCTTAATTTTCGCGGAAACGCCCAGGTGTGCGGGTGTCTTGATCATACGTGACGTAATCGGTTTCTTTCTTTACACGACTCACGAGGGCATGGAGGGGGAGAGGAAGAGCAAGGGCGAGTCGAGGGGGCAGGCGCAGGGGACGGGTCGCTGGCATACTAGGGGGGAAGGGTGGTAGGCGGCGATCGCCGCATACCGTCCTATGGCGGCGAGTATCGCTACGCCAGGGAGGACAAGGACGAACGTCGACGTGCAGCTGCTGCTGTTCGAATCGTTTGGTGGGTTCGGGAAGGGGGTCGGCGAGATCCTCTGGAAGGCGGCGAACGTGCTGCAGAACAAGCTGACGCTCATGTGCAAGCCGCGAGGTGTGTAGCCAGCCAGATCCAGCTGCGCAACGCGAGCGGAGCGAGCGAAGCGCCAGGACGATGTGCTCTCGGCGCACGTCCCTCTTTGTAACGCTTCACGCGCGCGCCGCGAGCATACGCGACTGTCGCCAAGTTAACGACATGTAACGATCGATCGCTGGCAAAACGGGCAACTCACGACTCTGAGGCTCACCCGCACATCCACGCGTCCGTGCAGAAGCGGCCCGCCTTGTGCCGCAGCTCGGCGCGGCCGTCGGGCCGCAGCTCGGCCGCGCGCACAGCCTGCTCCGCCTCGGGCAGCACCTGCGCGGGCGTCGGCAGGCGCGGCAGCGTGGCGAGCGCGGCGGCGGGCAGCGGCGGCGGGCAGAACTGCTGCCGGTTGGCCATCGTCACGCCCGGCGGCAGCAGCATCACGTCCGACAGCAGGTTCTCGCCGCCAAACTGGCGGAGCGACTTGCCGAGCCGGCGCGCGAACTCTTTCGCCGCCTGGCACGTCGGCAGCGGCGTGCCGTCGCCCGCGTGCACCTCGTAGCCCAGCTTGGCCGCCGTCGCCCACAGCCGCTGGCTCTCGGCGCCGCACCCCTCGTTGCGCGCGCGCTGGTACCACTCGTACTTGACAACCGGCCGGCGGCGCGCGTCGGCCGCGGCGGCGCCCACCTTTGGCAGCGCGAGCAGCGACTCGAGCGCTGCCTCGTTGAAGTCGTCGACGTCGATCTTGATGAGCGAGAGGTGCGGCACGATCGCCGGCAGCTCGCGCGCCACCCACGCCGGCACGTTCACGTACCGGTGCAGCCGCTTCGCGTCGTACCGGTCGCGCGCGTCGACGCCGACGTTGGCGGGCAGGATGCGCAGCGAAGGGTTGAGCGCCGCCTGCAGCACGACGGACATGTAGCTGATCACGTTCCATTCAAACGAGAGGACGGCGCCGCTCGCGCCCGCGACCGCGGCGATCGGCAGCGCGGTGTCGCCCAGGAAGCCGCCGATGTCGATCGCCGCCGTCGCCGGGCACATCCACGTCTCCCACGCGAGGCTCGGGTGGACGAGCCGCTCGCGGCGCACCGCGTCCGACGGCGCGCGCGCGCTGAACTCGCCGAAGCGGATGGACGTGTTGAGGTACGGGTACGTGAAGACGCTCGACCAGCAGCTGCTCTCCGCCTGCACCGCGCGGACCGCCGCGTCGGCGTCCGCGGCGCGCAGCATCGCCGCCTCCGCGTGCGGCCGCATTGCGTGAAAGCAGTTGTGCCGCTTGAACGCCTCCCACCGGCGCTGCCGGCCGGTCGCGAAGAGGCCGCCCTTGCCCTTGCCGCCGCCAAGGCTGCCGAAGCGCAGCTTCCTCGCGCACTCGCTGTACACGTACGCCGACATGCGCGGCGCGAGCGCGGAGCAGTTGCCGGCGTCGTACGGCAGCGCGGGGTGCGCGGGCATGACGACGGCGGCGAGGAGCGATGCGATGCCGGATAGCAGCGGCATTTTCGGTGGCGGCGGTGACGAGGGTCTGGTACCCGGGTACTTCCAGACTGCTGTGAACTCATAGCCAGCGCAAAGCGCCATAGGACGTATTTTCTTGTCAATAACAAGGTCCGTGTGAAAACAGCTGACGCCCCGCCGAGGCTCGCCCCAGCAGACTCGGCCATTGGGACTAAAACCCCGAGAGGCGTGGGAGTACCTCGCCAGGGAACGGACAGAGCGGCCACGTGTACTCGAGTACTTACTCTCGTTACCCGTCGAATACAGTGTTGTGTGTCCGTTAGCTCCGAGTAGTGGGGGCGTTCTGCAGTTAAGGGGAGACCCGGTACACGGAACTAACCCTCGGAGACCCGTGTTTATTTTACGGCCCTTTCCCTGCGAACGCGCACCCCCCTTAGCGCTTAGGGGTCAGGGCTCTCTAGCTTGGGAGTAGCAGGGTTTCTGGCAAACAAAAAGGAAAACAGAGGGTCAGCACTTTGCGTTTCCGGAAATTTCCAGGGAAAACAGAGGGTGTTTGGTGCTCCATTCTGGATGGAAACTCGCGATTTTCCCTGACGCCTGAGTCTGAGAGCTGGTCTGGGGCAAAATCTGAGGCAAAATTGAGGAAATCGACAAAATACCCAGGCGGTCGCAGGGTAAATTCCAGGTATACACGGGTTATCCGCAAAATTCCCGGCATTTTGCCGATTTGGCCTAAAATTTGGCTGATTTTGGGCCCAAAGCCAAACCAGCGTGAGTCTTTCCGGGTTAGCGCGGGTTAGTGCTCACTAACCCGGCACGAGTCAGCACGGGTCAGAATGGGTTACCATAACCCGGCACTAACCCGGCACTAACCCGGCACTAACCCGTGCGGCTGGGGGGCATACGTCAGCATGGGTCTGCGCCAGGTTAGGGGTGGGTTAGGGCCGGGTTAGTGCAGCGCACCCCGGGTTAGAGGCTGGTTGGCGAGATGAAACGGCTGCGGCGGGCACCCGAGCCGACCTCCGCGATCGCGCGATGGAGCCTTGGCTGCAGAAGGCCGTGGATGCCAAGCTGCTCATTGAGAAGAACACCCGCGTGCGCAGTTCGGACGGGTCCAAGGCGGTCGCTCGTGCTGGAAGTGGACCGTGTACGTCGACTAGAGCACGTCCCTCCTCACTGCTCCGTGCGCGCCTGACGCCCAGTCGACACACCTCCCGGTGCGCCCATGGCCTCCACTGCCATGGCAGTGCGGGCTGCAGGGGGCCCGGCCCTCAACGTGTGCCAGTGATGGCCCTAGGGAGGAGGAGTGCGCTGAGGGCGGTACATTATAGATCCTGTGGCATGAGATTGTCCCGCTCGCCATGCGCCCGCGGCTGTGGTGTGGCGAGTGAGTGAACGCACGAGAGAGGGGTGGAACGAGCCGTAACCCAATCCCAAGCCTAACCCAGACTAACCCGAGACTAACCCGGCGCTAACCCGGCGCTAACCCGCGCTGCTCCGGGGCATACGTTAGGATGGGTTAGTGTCGGGTTAGTGCCGGGTTAGCGTCGGGTTATGGTAACCCGTTTTAACCCGTGCTGGGTTAGTGTGGCTTAACCCGGTGGAACCCACGGCTAACCCGCGCTTACTGACAGACTCACACCAGCCTCAGACCTCGGCTCAGGGCCCAAAATTTGACGATTTCCACGGAGTTTTCCCGGGAAAATAGAGAGGAAAAGAGAGGGTTTGTAGAGAAAAAAGGAAAGGAAAACAGACGGGGTGCGAGAGGCAAACCTGCTACAGCCCAAGTGTTAGTGCCAGTGTGCGCCAGTCCCGTGCCCAGAGTGGCGTGGGAGAGAGCATACACACTCGCCAGCGTAAAATTCTTTGCCAGTCCCGTGCCCAGTGTGTGCGAGATGAATGAAATTCTTTGTGTTTGAGCGGGACTTGCCGATTGGACGCTGGCAGGGCACAGGGCAAAAAAAGAAAAAAACATTTCGAAATTTTTGGTTGGGCTGGAAGGACGGGTGGAAGGCAAGGACTATCAGCGACTCGCCCTCTCGTCTTCGCTCGCCCTCGCCTTCGCTCGCCCTCGATTCCTCGCGGGCGAGTCGCCAGTTCAGCGACTCAGCGGCCCTCGCGGCACATGCTCGCCCTCGCGACCGCAGCCGCCGCCCCCAGCTTCGCAGCCTGCGCAGCGCCAGCCGTGAGGCCTCCGTCTCGCTCAATGCTCTCTTTTCCCGGCCCCGCTCAGCTGCCCGAGAAGGCGCCGGCTCAGCCGCTGACTGAGCACGCGCTGGCTCAGCCGAGTATGCCCGAGCCTGTGCGCCGCGAGCCAATGCCCGGGATACGGCAGGCGGAGAGGGAGGGCCTGCTCGTCGATACGTACCGCCGCGGCGCGAGCCGGGACTGGCGGCGTGGCCTGCTACGCCTCCTCTTCAGCCGCTCCTCCAACGGCCCTCTCTCGCCGCTCTCACAGCTCATCGAGCGCCTCTGCACCAGCCTCCTCCCCGTCTTGTTCCCGCTCGAGTACCGCGCAGTGCAGCGGTGGCACGCCGCGCGAGCCGACGATCGCGCCCTCGAGGAGTTTGCCCGCGCCAAGAACCACCTCGCGCTGATCCTTGCCGGCGAGCAAGCCACGCTGGATGGCCGCGTCAAGTCCGCGGCCTCGGCGTTCGAAAAGGTGCGTCCTCATCCCACACGCACGCCGCCCTTCGCCACGCCGGCTGCCGCACTAGCGGCGGTGGCAAGGCCTTGTCACGTAGTACATGACACGCCATGACCTGCCCGTGACCTGTCCCTGACACGTCCCGACAGGCGGCCCTGCGTGGCAAGGCGGTGGAGGACCTGCTCGGACTGCGCGTCATCGTGGACGACGACGGAGGCGGTGGCGGCGGGGGAGGAGGAGGAGGTGGCGGTGGAGGCGGCGGTGGAGGTGCAGTGCTGCGCCGTCGACCTGCTCGCCGGCTCGCTCGACGCGGCGGAAAGTGGCGGCCCGCGGTCGGCGTTGGCCGGACGCCTCTGGCGAGCGTCGGCGGCGGAGGCGGTGGCGCGGCGGGCGGAAGGCAGCGGTGCTACGAGATCCAGCGGCTGGTCGAGTCGACCTTCCCAGGTGGCTGTCGCCCTCGAGCACGGCTGCTATCTCGGCTGGACCTCGGCTGGGATCTCGGCTGCCTCTCGGGCCCAGGCAGCGTCGCCCTCGAGAACGACTACGTCGCGAGCCCCAAGCCAAACGCGTACCAGAGCCTCCACCTCGCCGTCCGCCTGCCCGCTCTCGGCGACAAGATCGAGGTCTACCGCCGCCGCCGCCGCCGCCGCCCATCGCCGCCTCCCTCGCCCCACGCCTCCCTCTCGCAGACGTCCCCACCAGCACCAGTGCCAGTGCCCACGCCCACCACTGCCGATGCCGCCGCCCTCGCCGCCTCCTCACCCCCCCCCCTCCCCCCCTCCCCCCCTTCCAGGTTCAGATCCGCACACGCCACATGCACGCCGTCGCCGAGCTTGGCTCCGCCGCCCACGCCGCGTACAAGCGTGCCGACGCCGCCGCCGAGCACGCGCGGCCGCCGCTGCAGCTGCGGCCTTGAGCCGCAGCAGCCGCGTGTGCCGCCACCGTGCACACACGCGGCGCCATCGACATCGACAGCCTCGCCGCGTGCGCCGCCCGGCTGCTTCGGGATGCTCCGAGAGGCTCATCCGCGGCGCTCCCTGCCTCTCGCGCGACCGACCGCTCGTACCGCCGCAGCCTCGGCCTTGCGCCGCCCGCCGCCACCCCGCCGGCTGCGCCCCTCTTGTTCACAGTCTTCTCGGGCCTTGCCCTCCCCCGAGAGGGCGCCCTGCCCTCGAGTACATTGTACGCATCTCTGGCTGCGAGCGCGTGTACCATTCCCCCTGCCGCGCTCCCGCCCCATGCATGACTGCTGTACCCTTGCCGCTCGCGCTCGCCGCCCCTGCCCCATGTCTCTCTCGCTGTACCCTTTGGCATGCTTTCCTCTTTGGCGCGCGACGTGCGTCCCCGCTAGTGCGGTGGGCCTGTGTCCGTGTGCCGTCCGCGTCCCCGGTGTCAGGCACATTCTTTCCATGATTCTTTCTCAGAATTGTACCTTCACCAAAAGCGGCCGGAGTCCCGGACCGCGCGAACGCCGGAGCGACCGGGACGCGGGAGACGCGTGTGTGCAGGGAGAGAGAGACGTGAGAGAGCGCGCGCGTGCCCAAAGACGAGAGAGGTGCTCTCGGCGTGGTCTCGCGACATGAGAGGAGTCAGGAGAGGAGGAGAATAGCGGTATAGGCTAGCCATAGCGCGTCTCGCAGCAACACCAGCAACCAACGTACGGAACGCGCTACAGGGCCTAGTACCAAACGCTCCAGCCAGGAGATTCAACTAAGAACCTCCAACAGAGCCATGCCGCCCACACAGTCCGGGACGCGTGACGTGGTCCGGAAGACATCGAATCACATCTCTCTCGGTCATCGCCAGGCCAAGCATCACGATCCGGCGCTCTCACCAGGAGACCCTGCAGGCGTCTCTCTCTCCCGCTCTGCGCTGCGCGCTCCTGCCGCCGTCGCCGTCGCGCCTGCCTCCCGCGGCACCTCCTCCGCCCGCATCGCCCCCGCCACAAACTCCTTGAGGGATGCGCGGAAGGGGGCGTCCGACGGGATCGCGTGCCTGCGTCGCGAGCACACCACGTGAACACAGGGGACCGTGCAGTGTCGAGCATCGCGGGGATGCAAGGGCTAAAGTCCAGTGGCTGCAGCGAATGCAGCCGAATACGTGCCAAATCGGGGCACAGCGATCTGCATTGCTCATCTAGGATCGCCCGCCCTCCAGGGTGCTCGTAGCAGACCCGTGCAGCGAAGCACGCGGCGAGAGCGGCGGCACGCTCCGGCGGCACCGCCGCGTCGGCCGCGCCGCTGACGTGCAGCGACGGCAGCGGCAGCGGCGCCTCGGGGCGAAAGTCAGCCGCCCACTGCGGATCGCGCGGTACAAAGCCTGTGACGAGGCGAAGGGCTCTCGGAAGGGTCTCGGAAGGGTCTCGGAAGGGTCTCGGAAGGGTCTCGGAAGGGTCTCGGAAGGGTCTCGGAAGGGTCTCGGAAGGGTCTCAGAAGGGCGGCGCGTTGCCTGCGACGAGAATCGCGAAGCGAAAGAGGGTGCGCCGACGCATACACAGCAGCGCCGCCAGCGCCGCGCCCTGAGAGAAGCCGAGCACGCCGTCAAACGGCCCCTCCCTCTCGCATGTGGCGTCGAGGAGCTCGAGCGACCGCTCGACGCCAGCGTACTCGTGCGAGAGGGACGGGCGCGAGGCGGTGGCCTCGTCAAAAGTCCACCAGCCGAGCGACTGTCCGCGCTCATCGGCGTTGATGTCGCCGAGGAAGCCGGCGGTGGCTGCAAAGGGTGCGTCGACAAAGACAAAGTCACCCGCGACCGCCTTCAGCGCCTTGCGCAGCGAGCCGGTGCGCTGGCGGAAGAAGGCGGCGTTCTGAGCGTAGCCGTGCAGGCAGAGGATCCGGGCCTTGCTGGGCGTGGGCGTGCTCATTCTGCCACCACCCTGCACTGTACCCGGGGAGCGGTGCCGGCCCGGCTTGGATGTGGTGGCCGAGGAGGGAGCGGTTGTGTTTTATTTGGAGCCGCCACGGCCACCCTCCAAACCTCCTCCCCTTCTCCAGGACCGAGTCCCCCCAGGGGCGGGGCTGCTCTTCTCGACCTCCGCGCGCAAGGGCAAGCCGTCGGGCGGAGAGGGCGGCAGCCTCGCCCGCGCGGGGAGGACGGCGAGGCGGGAGGCGAGGCCGAGGTCGATTTTGGGGAGCTGCCGACGAAGGCGGAGTCGTCGCAGCGGGTGTGACCCGCCGAAGGCCGATTGTACGTCGCGCTGCACACTTGTTCTGAACTCAACCCATTGTTCAGCTATAGAGACCTCGCATTTTAGGTGTTTATTGCGATCGCGACGCGGACGGATCCTTTTTAGTAAAAATGAACCGGCCAGCCGGGGGCGCCCATGCATGGGTTGATTGACCTTAGATTGGGGTGCACAGCCAAAATCCCACCCCTAGTCTAGCGGAAATTTTCGGTGTATCGTGAATGATCGCCGAGTATCGCCTAATATCGCCTAATATCGCGCACCCTCTCGCGCACCCTCGCGCACCCTCGCGCACCCTCACCCCGGCGGCGAACCGCGGCCGCGGAATTCTTTGTTTTCGGAGGAGACCATCTAAAGCTGGCGGCGCAGCCGGCGCGGCGCGCCTGCGGCGCGCCGTGGTTTCTTAATTTCGCGGAAACACCAGTGTGGTTTCTTGATCTGCTGCGGCGTCGGCACCAGTACACAGACAACCAAGTGAGCAAGGCCAGCGCGGCAAAACTGCCGATGCCACCCCCCACGGCAGCGCCAGACCCTGAGGCTAGCGTCATCGTCCGATCCACCGCCGCCTGGTGTCGGAGCCGGCAGAGAGGGGGGCAGCAGAGAGGGCGGAGGCGACGGTGAGGGCGGAGGCGACGGTGAGGGAAAGCACGGATCATCTCCATCATCGCAGCCGGGGCACGTGACTTTGAACGATATTAGGGGCCACGCGAAGCAGCCACCCGATGAGTAAGAGTAGAAGTCCGAGCTTCCCGAACAGTCGGAGGTCTGATAGGTGTTGTCGTTGACTGTGCACCCATCGCACGCGTACTCCGAGCTAGTTCCGTCCTCATTGTCGACGCACGAGCCCTGTTGGATGTTGCCGTCAAAGATCAACGCCGTGTTGCTGTTCACTGCGCACTCGGCTAATCCAACCCACGTCTGCAACTTGACCTCTCCGGCGCCCTGCAGCTGGCGGCGCTGTTCCGCCACCTCCGTGGCGGTGGAGATCGTCGCTCCGAGAGCAGGCACGGCCGTGAACGCGAGGAAGATTGCGGTGTTGCGCGACATATACGAGGGCAGATGAAGAGAGTCGCCCGTCGGTGGTGCGAGTAACGTCTTCGTGCGCAACCCAGAAGAAATACGCGTGCGCTCCCATGAACAGGAAGAGCGTCTCTTCTGTCTGGCTCGCGCATTTCTCCCGACCCATTTGAAGCGCGACTAATTTGTTCGTAAACGTAGTCTCCCCCCCACCCCCCCACCCCACCCCCCACCCCCCTGCCTGTTTCTTTGCCTAGGGCCCTCAGGGTGCATCAGTGGCAGGAGCGAAATTTTATCCACGGAGCCAAACCTAGACTAGCATCTCGCCCCCTCTCTGTGGCCCAAAAAAGCCTGCCGCTGCGACAGCCTCGCAGACCACATTCCATGGCGCCGCCTGACTTCTACGCGCTGCTCGGCGTCGACCGTGCCGCCACCAACGAGCAGGTGCGCAATGCGTACCGCGACTGCGCCATGCAGCACCACCCCGATCGCGGCGGAGACCCGGCAGTGTGGTCGGCGCTACAGCGCGCCTACGACACGCTGAGCGACCCGCAGAAGCGGGCCGTGTACGATCGCACCAAGCAAGACGGCTCGGTGGGCGCGGAGAAGGCGTTCGGGCAGGCCTTTGCCGAGAAGGGCGAGGGTGCGGCGCAGCAGCGCGGCCTCTCCATCGAGGCCGAGATGGCGGAGGCCAAGGGCAAGGGCTCGACGCTAGCCGCGGCAGGCTTCGACATGTCGCACGCGCAGGGCTTCGAGGCGTGGATGCGCAACCAGAAGGGGATGGGGAAGCAGTCCTTCTACACCGCCGAGGACCTCCTCCGCTCGCGCCAATACGGAAACATCGAGGCCGCCTGTCCCACCGCCGCCCGCCCCGCCACCGCCGTCCACCGCCCTCGCAGCCTCCCTCCGACTCGCACCACCCTCCCTCCCGTTACCGCCACTGTCGCTCTCGCCGCCTACCCGACCACTGCATGCGCGGCCACCAGGCGACCGAGTCGACGGCACAGCCGCTGCCGGCGCTGTCGGCGACGGCGGTCCGGTTCGATGCGCACGGCCCGCCCGAGGAGGTGCTGTACGTCGACCGCGCCTGCTCTCTGCCCGACAAGCTCGCACACGGAGAGGTGCTTCCGACACACTTCCGACACACTTCCGACACACCTCCGAGACAGTTCAGCTCTCGCACAGGGCAATGGCTCCTCATGCACGCCCGCCGCCAGCCTCGCCACGGCCGCCAGCCTCGCCACCGCCAGCCAGCCTCGCCACCGCCGCCAGCCTCGTCACTGCCGCGGCGTCGCCAAAGCGTCGCCGAGCGCCCCGCCGTCGCCACTGCTCACCTTCTGTAGCCCTCCCTGCCCTCCTCTCACCCTCCCTCCCCTCCTCTCCCCACGCAGGTGCTCGTGCACATGCTAGCCGCCTGCGTGACAGACGAGGCCGCTGCCGCGCGTGCACGCCGACGCCATCTCCTTGACACACGTCCGCGACACGTCCCCGACATGTCTGCACAGGACCTGCTGCGCGTGCAGACCCCTCTCACCGTCCTCAACGACTTCCCGCCCTTCAACCGGACAAACAACAAGTGGGAGGCGGCGACGCTGCCCGCCTTGCCCGAGCCGCGCCCGAGCCTTCCCCCAACCTCCCCATAGGTGGGAGGCGGTTCCTCTGCCCGCCACCGCTGGCGTCGAGGGCGTCGGCGTGGTCATCGCCACCGCCAAAAACGTGCCCACGCTCAAAGACCACCCGCTCGAGGTCAAGGACTGGGTGCTGCTGCGGCCCGAAGCGCGCCGCAGGCGCCGCCGGCTGCTGCTGCTCCCACCATCTCCATGACACCTCCCTGACACCTCCCTGACACCTCCGTGACACCACTCTGACACCTCCCCGACACTCTCCCTGACACCTCCCTGACACGTCCCTGACGCCTCCCTGACACGTCCCTGACACCTCCCCGACGCGTCCCAATGACGCGTCCCTGACCCTTCCCCCGCAGGCCCGCCGGCTGCTGGTCGACCATGGCGGTCGTCGAATCGTCAATGCTGATCAAGGTCCCGGCGCAGCTGATGCCCGTCCGCCACCTGGCGTGCTCGCGCTCCCTCTGCACCGCCTACCGCCTCCTCGAGGACTACGGCTCGCTCCGGCCCGGCGACACCATCATCCAGAACGCGGCCGACCTGCCCGTCGGACAGGCGGCCGCAGCACCTGCAACCTCGTGTCAACCTCGTGGAGTCTCGGGTCATCATCTCGGCCCATCCGGCGCATCTCGGGCCATCTCGGGCCATCTCGCGGGATCTCGGGCCATCTCGGGCCATCCCGTGGGATCTCGGGCCATCTCGGGCCATCTCGGGCCATCCCGTGGGATCTCGGCCACCCGACTCTGCCCCCCATGTCGGCCAGGCGGTCGTCCAGCTCTGCAAGATGCTCAAGATCCGCTCGATCAACCTCGTCCCCGACGACGAGGCCGTCCGCCCGTGGAGCCGCACCAAGCCGCTGCCGAGACCCGTCCGCACCCCATGACCCCTGTCCTGTAGGCCTTCGAGCAGACCAAGGCGCTGCCCGCCCCAGCTCGGCCATCGCACACGCCCTTGCCCCGTCGCTGACGCGTCCCCGACGTCCCGCAGGAGCTACTCGTCCAGCTCGGCGCCTCGCACGTGCTGCGCGACAATGCGAAGGTGGGCGAGTTCATCGACGCGCTCGGCCAGATGATGCCGCGCCTCGGCATCGACTCGCTCGGCGGCGAAGCGGGCAAGCGCATGTCGGTCGCGCTGCGGCCCGGCGGGCAGCTGGTAGGTGGCCTCGCCACGCCTCTTCTGCTCGGCCCACCGCGCTTCTCTTCTTCTTAGGCGGGCAGCTCGTGATGCACTCGCTGCAGACTGGGCAGGTGCCGACCATCTCGCCGTCGCTGCTCATGTACCAGCAGATTTCGTTGCACGGCTTCAACATGGCGCAGTGGGTCGATGAGAATGGCGTCGAGGCGTACAAGGACATGCTCAACACCATCGGCGAGCTCGTGCAGGCGGGAAAGCCTCGAGCGCGCCCCATCGACACCTCTCCCCTTCGCCACCCGGCTTCTCTGTTCTCACAGGCGGGCAACCTCGAGCTCGCCACCGCCGAGGCGCCCGTCCGCGGCATGGAGCCGTCCGCCCTCAAGGCGGCCCTCTCGTCGCACCGCCGCGGCGCCGCCGGCCGGCCGCGCGAGCGGTCGGTGCTTGTCCTCGGCAGCGAGGCGGCCGCCAACGAGGTCTACTTCGAGCTGCAGGCGAGCATCCGGAGCATGTACGGCGCAGACGAGCCGCAGACGCCCGCCGCCGGCGCGCCCCCCGCGCAGAGCGCCGCGCCGCCGTTGCAGTCGCCGGTGGCGGCCTCGCCACAGCGGCCGCGCGCGTCCGAGCGGTGGGGCGACGCGGCGGAGATGCTGGCCGAGCTGAGCCTGTCGCAGTACGCGTCCGCCTTTGAGGAGGAGGAGATGACGTCGATCGAGCTCCTCGAGGACATCGTGTCGCGCGGCGACGGAGAGAAGGAGCTGATGGACGCGCTCAAGGAGATGGGCATCAAAAAGATGGGCCACCGGCAGGCCATCGTCGGCGCCGTGGTTGGCAAGCTATGAGCTGGGGGGGGGGGCTGGTGGGGCCAGCCTCCTGCGCGCGCGGCAGCCGCTGCGAGCTGCGCAGCGGGCGGCGGGAGCTTGAGAGGGGAATGCGGGCTAGGAGGACGCAAGCGGATACGGCCTCTATTTGCGGGGGGAGCATCGGCATTGGGCGCAGCGCGCGTTTTTCACCAGTCTTTATTTTCTGTGTGTGCATCTGCTGCTGCTCATTGCGCATCAGAGTGACCAGACCCCATGTTTTCCCTTTGCCTCCCTTTCACAGTGTATGAATAATATTACTCCGACTGTATGTGCGCCGTGTCCCTGCACCCGCGTTTTCCACACGAGTCACGGCCGTCACGCCCTCCGCACATTCGTCGCCTTCTTCTTCTTCTTCTGAGCGTGCCCTGGCCCCTTCATCGCCGCAGCGCGGTTCTCGACGCAGCTCGGAGGCAGCCCGTGCTTCGCCGCGAGCCACTCCGTGATCGAGCGGTCCCACAAGCCTTGCACCGACACGACGCGCTTCTGCACGCCGCTCTTGAGCGCCTCCTCCTCCACGTTGGCCGTCGCGCCGCACACGCCCGCCAGCTCGCGCGCGGCCGTGTACGGGTCGATCGAGTATGCTGCGAGCTCGGCGACGCAGGTCACGGAGTGGCCGCGCCGCTGCTCGGTGGTCAGCACCACCTGTTGAGGGGGAGCCAAGGATTGAGCGGGACGCTTGTGAGGGCGATCTCGAGCGATCTCGAGCGATCTCGAGCGATCTCGGGTCTGCCCATGGGCCTGAAAGAGCCAAAGAGCGGATAGCAGGCGCGCCAAGTGATGTGTAGCAGGAGAGGCGGGCGGAGGGAGCACCACCTTTGGCGGCTCTCCTCTGGCGTGCATCGGCTTCTCGAGCGCGCCGCCGCTCACCCGCGTCCACTGCTCGAGGCGCTTGAGGAAGCGCCGCCGCACCTCCTTGGGCGGCATGCTCGCCGCGCCCGCCTGCGGGTCCTTGGCCGCCTCGCCGCCTCGGAAGAGGGCGTCCGACAGCAGCGGGTCGAGCGCCCACGCCGAGTGAGACGACTGACCACCGCCTCCACCTTCCGCGCCTCCGCCGGCCGATACGGCCGCCACGTGCGCCTAGAGGACCCACCGGGAGAAGGAAAGCTGCGCCGCGGCGAGAAGAAAGATGCGGACGGCCGCCGCGCGCCTCGAGGATCGCAAGCACTTGCGCCTCGTCGAGAAACGCCCTGCCGTCCGTGGCGCCGCGCGCGCGGAACAGCGGCTTCATCGCATCCGACGGACGGTAGACCGTCGTCACGCGCAGCAGCGGCACGCTGCCCGCCCCTCCGCCGCCGCCCGCCCCACCCCCCGCCCCTCCGCCGCCCGCCGCCGCCTCCGCCGTCAGCTCCCACCCGCAGAAGTGGCAATACGCGTCTGTCGAGCGGCCGAGCGTTCTGACGCTGAGCTCGCCGAGCCTGGGGCGGAAAGGGCGCGGGTCGGGGGAGAGACCAGAGTGAGCCGGAGGGCGAAAGCCCACCGCGCTTTGGCGTTGCCGTCGTGCAGAGGCCCTCTCGCTCCTAAGAGCGAACAGCTGGGATCCAAGGGAAGAGAAGGCGCTGGAGCCGAGCCGAGGCCGTCGCGCTCCATCGCGCTCGCGAACGCGCTCAGCTTCTTGTAGCTCGAGGCCTGCCCACAGCGGCCCTTTTGATTCCCTCCCCGGACTTCTTCCCCTTCTGGCGGCTCGAGACCTTGACGTCGAGCGACGTGCCCGCCGGTCGGCCTGGGCGCATGTGCTGGCTGTAGAACGCGTTGACTGTCATAGGCAGCGACGCGTCCTTGACCTACGCCTCGGGGCGTACCTCGGGTCATCTCGGCCAGCCACAGTCGTGGGGAGGCAGCGACGCGTCCTTGCCGCGTGCGCGGCGTGCAGGAAGCAATCCCGGAGCAGCCGGTCCATCTCCGCCGCAGCCTCCGCACGCGCCGCTGCGCCGCCCTCCGCCGCTGCGCCGCCCTCCGCCGCCGCGGCGGCTCCCGCCGACCCCTCCCCTGCAGGCTCCGATTCCTCTCCTGCGGCCGCCTCCTGCACCGGACCGCCGCCCAGCCCGCCGCCGCCTAACCCGCCGCCGCCGCCCAGCCCGCCGCCGCCGCCCAGCCCGCCGCCGTCGCCCTGCGCCGCCTCCACCGGCGCCACGCTCACGCCGCCGCCCTCGGCAACGACGAAGCCCGAGTTGGGGAGAGGCCGGCCCGCGAGCCGCCAGAGCGCGTCCCCGACCACGTGCTCGACCTGCAGCGCCGTCCCCTTGACCGCGCCTGGGCTGCGGACCGCCTCGGCGACAGCGGCGCCAGGCACGGCAAGCACGCCAACCGCGACCGCCGAGGGGTTGCCGAAGATGCGGACGCAGGCGGCGGCGCCGGCGGGGAGAGCTGCGACCGACGCGTCGGCGGCACGCACGCCGGGGAGGAGCAGGTCTGCGCCGTTGATCAAGTAGCGCGCCGCCTGCAGGCATGTTCCGAGAAGCGTCGGGGCAGGGCTCCAGCAGCTCCGTGAGGCGGGTCGCACGGGCCGCCTCTGGCGGGCAGACGAGAGCGGGCAGCGCGGTCGGGACTCGCCACAGCCCGGGCAGCGTCGGCAAGAGGCCCGAGCTGCCGAGCTCGAAGAGCACCGGGACTCTGTCGCAGTCGATGATGCGGCACACCAACCCGCCGGCCGTGCGCCTCTGCACGACGTCAGCGCCCTTTCGGAGGAGGAGCGCAGCATCCTCGGGTGCCGCCAGCCGCCTGCCAGCACACGCGGTGGAATCCGAGGCTTCCGAGGCTTCCGAGGCTTACTACTCGGTAGTCCGTCCTACTCGGTGTGCGGCAGGCGCGGGTGGCCGCGTTTGTGGATGTCTGCACGGGCTTGGAGCGCCTGGACGCCTCAGCGGAGAGCTTCTTCACATCCTTGCCGCTGAGCTTCTGCTCGGCCTTGACGAGAATTTCCTTCTGCTTGAAGGGCATCGGCAGGACGCACGGTCGCACAGTCGCACAGTCGAGGCCTCGTGCCCAAGCGGTGTGCGAGCAGCAACCTGTGCAGCAGCAACCTGGGTTCCGGCTCCTACCCAGATAGTGGTCTGTTACCTCGGTCTTAGACCCCATGCAATAGGTAGGTAGGTCCGGTTTTGACCGCCCCAGAGGGCCCCGCAATAGGTAGGTAGGTGGTGGTGGTGGGCGGGGGGGGGGGGGGAACCCAAGAGAGTAGTAGGAAGGCGGGAGAATCCAAAAAAGCCGCGCAAAAAGCCACAAAAACCCAGCGAAACCCGCTTCGCTGCGTGGCCGTGGGAGACGGGTTAGCCGCGAACGGGGCCATGCCAGGCGAGTCGCCTGCGGCTGGGACGCCAGCCGAGACGGGCGCTGGGAGCCTATTCACAGAGGGCTAACGGGTATTTTTTCGCTTCGCTGTGCGGCCTGGGAATAGGTAGGTAGGTGGGGCACGGAGCCTGGCGATTGGCGCCCGCAATAGGTAGGTAGGTAGGGCGTTTTGGGAGAGAGAGAGATTTGTTTGTTTGTTTTGCGTTTTGGTGTTGCATACTGCATCGCAGCCCGCAATCATGTGGCACCTGCCCACTTCACCGAGGCGGCCCACCTCATTCTCCCCCACGATTGGGTCGAGCCGGCGCACGCCGCCCCACGGGGAAGGGACAAGCCCACCGCCGGGCTCTGGGAGACGACCGCTGTGCGCCTCCCCCCCTCCGGGCACGAGCACATCCAGCCGCCCGCCGCACGCACGCCACAGCCACCTCCTCAGCCTCAGATCCAAGGCAAGGGACAGCGGGCCGTGCGCGAATCTACCGCCTCTGCACAGCCAGGCGAGTACAATCGCTACCTCGTCGAGGAGTGCGTTGCCGTCGCTGGCAACGCCGCCGTCGCAACTGACGTCCTCACCTTTGGCGAGATGGGCACACTGTGCCATGGCACCTCCGCTCACCGGCGTGGGAACCTTGCCGGCGCCTGCCGCCGCCTTCCCGCCTTCAACGCCATTGCGGCTGCCGGCGTCGCTCACGATCGCCTCCCGCCCGGCCTCTACGGCCGAGGCCACTCCCTCGCCGCCGCCCTCGACCAGGGCCTGTGGCCCCTCGAGGGTATGATTCTCCGCAGGGAGACCGGAGGCCAACCTCGCCTCCTCGCCGCCGGCGTCGTCCCGTCGACTCGAGACCCGAAGGGGCACAAGCAGGCGATGGCGCAGGACGCCCAGAGGGGCGACAGCGCCTGGCTCACCGCCGAGTACAAGGAGCTGGGCAACCACAGCGGCAGGCCCGACGACCCCGACCACCTCTCCAAGTTCCTCAGCGGTCACTTGACTCGCCAACAGTGCATCGACTGCGAGGCGACGTGGTATTACGTCACCATCCCCGAGGCTCGAGCCCTCGCTCGCGAGTACGGGCTCCCCGAGTTGCACATCAACCGAGCCCAAGAGGTCTACACGACCAAGCGCACCGGCAAACGAAAGGCCCGCATCTGCATGGATGGCTCTGGACAGGTTTTTGGCACCGACTACAACCAGACCTTCCAGTCGGTCCTACGCATGGACACCCTGCGCGTCCTCCTCAACCTCGCCGCCCGTCGCGGACTACGCATGCGGCGCCGCGACCTCGTCGCCGCCTTCCTACAGGGCTCCCTCGAGTGCGGCGAGATCGCCTTCATGTACCAACCAGCCGGACATGTCCATGCCTTCGATGAGCACGGCAAGCCCAAGATCTGCGTCCTCCTCAAGCCACTGTACGGCATGAAGCAGGCTGGCCGGCGCTTCCAGCGCGACTTCTACTACTGGCTCACGCTTCCCCGCGCCGAGGGCGGCGCCGGCCTCATCCAGTCCACGGCTGACCTGAGCGTTTTCTACTACCGCACAGAGCATGACGAGTTCCTGCTCGGGGTCTACGTCGATGACCTGATCATGTTTTATCCACCCGACGCCGCCGACGATGACGGCGTGCCCGTTGCCGATAGCATCTACGGGCGCTTCATCGCCGACATGGACAAGAACTGGAAATCCGAGGACGAGGGCGAGCTCTCCGACATCCTCAACATCCAGGTCACCAGGCGCCACGACGGCTCCGTCAACGTGTCGCAGGAGCAGTATGCCCGCCGGTTCGTGGAGCAGTTCCGCGAGAAGCTCATCAATCGCCTACGCGGACCACAACCTGTCCGACACGCCAACATGACGCCGTACACGCCCCAGCTTGCCGAAAGGGTCCTTGCCGCTTGCGACGATGCTTCCGAACGCGACCCCGCCGACGTCCACCTCAGCCAGTGCTTCTGCGGCGTCGCCAGCTACCTCGTCACCAACACGCGCTGCGACGGGGCGCTCGCTTTCGGCCTCCTCTGCCGGTGCATGGCCAAGCCCACCGACGATGTTTTTGAGGAGATGTTCTGCTTCCTCGAGTACTTCCGCTACCATCCCCACATCGGCCTCACCTACGAGCCGGGCTGGGATGGCGAGCGGGAGGGCGACGACCTTGTCGCCATGAGCGACGCCAGTTGGGAGACGCGCCGGTCCACATCCGGGTGGATCGTCCTCATGTGGCAGGCCACCGTACACTGGCGCAGCGTCCAACAGCCCTCCATTGCGCTCTCCTCTTGCCAGTCCGAGATCATGGCTGCTTCTGAGGCTACCAAGGACGTCCTGAGCTACCGTCGCCTTAAGGCCGAGCTCGAGTCGTACGTCAAGGACGGCGAGATCGTCACCCCTCCCGAGGCCCCGCCCACCAAGCAGTACTGTGACAACCAGGCCGCCATTGCCTCAGCCTACAACCCCGAGAACCACGGCAGGCTCAAGCACGTCGAGCGGCGCCACTTCTTCATCCGCGAGGCCATCGAGGAAGCCAAGATCTGTGTTCCTTTCGTCCGCAGCGACGAGAACCTTGCCGACTTCTTCACGAAGCCGCTCAAACCCCAACGCTTCTTCGAGCTGCGGGACAAGATCATGAATGTCAAGGAGCCTTCCTCCCAGTCGGATGGGAAGTGAATCTCCGTCACCGATCCGTCACCGAGACGGAGCGCGGGCGCCGGCCGCGAGCGCGAACAGTGCCGCCCCGCCCCCACCCGCGAGAGCCATAGACTCTCCAGTGCATGTCATCCAGTCCATGCCCCGTCGAGAGGGACACTCTCCTCTCTATCCATGTGAGTGACTCGACTACGTCGAGGGGGGGGACGTCTGAACCACACGTGTCCCTCCATTCACACTCTCCCAGTCCTTCCTGGTCTAGTGCCCGTCTTCTCCGCCCGTCGTGCTGAGTTGGGCTTTCTTCGTCCTTCAGACGTTTCACCTAGAGCAAGCAGGGCGGAACGCCCCTTGGTCCACCCGCCGCCCGGGTGGGGCTTGCACGCGGCGCTCGCCGGCTAGCAAGAAAAGAAAGAAGCAACACAAAAAGAAACCACGAAATGTAAACAGAAAAAGAAAAGGACAGATAAAAGGAGAAGACAGGGATGGGCCTACACGCCCGCTCCTTATCGCCGGCGAGCAAGGCCGGCAGCACCACCGTCGCGTCCGACACATCCGTACCGCTCCTGGTCTTCGTTTGTCATGGAGCACGCCCTCCCGAGCGAGGTGTCCGGGAACGAGCCGCCACGCGGAGCAGCAAGCCCGGTCACCCCGAGCCGTCTGCGATCCAACTCCCGCTCAACCGCCTTGTCATCGACGGCAGCCAAAGCCAACTACACCGAAGCGGTGGAGATGGTGAACGAGCTGGCGCCAGCCAACCGCCACGGCGGCCTGGATCGCTTCGAGAACGCCATCCTCGAGGAGATCGAGGAGCTTCGCGAGAGCGCAGGCACGGCGGCGCCAGAGTCGACCAGCGGCAAAGGCTCGGCCGACCGCGGCCAGGGCTCGGCCGACCGCGGCCAGGGCTCGGCCGACCACCTCCCACTGTACACCTCGCCGCCTCAGCTTAAGGCCCACTCGAACGTGCCATCGCGGGAGTGTAGCCGTGCGCTCCTGCAGCTCGGGCTGCTCCTCGGGCGCGAGCTCTGCGGCGGCTTGATTCTCCTGGCAGCCTCCATCGCCGTCATTCTCGTCGAGGCCCCGTCTCGCATCGACAAGCGCTGCATCACGCTCTCCAACTGCACCGGATATGCGCCCCTCGCGGCAGAGCCCGACGAGCCCGCGGGCTTCCAGTGGCCATTCGGCGCAGATGACGGGGAGGCCGGGTCTCAGGGGCCCGACGCCTTCGACGCCGATGACGAGTTCCGGCTCATCAGCGAACTACTCCTCTGGATGCTCCGCCCGCTCTACTCTCTGGCTGCGGCCCGCGCCGCCTCGCTGTTTGTGTGGGGCGTGCTGAGCAGCCCCGCCCTCCAGCGGTTCATGCCGGGCATCTTGCTGCTGCTGGTTCGCAGTGCGCTCTCTTGCCCGCTCTGCGTGCCGGCGATGCTCTTCCCCGTCTCCAACGCCGTCTTTCGGATCCTCTACTTCGACCGCACGGCGTGGAAGAACCTCTTTGGTCTGCCCTCCTTTGTGCCAGCTAGCACATGGATGCTGGTCGCCGCCTTGGCGTTTGTGCTCATCGACGCAGCCGTCCAATTCTCGCAAAACCAGTTGACTCTGCGGCACTACGAGGACCGCTCCCAGTCGGCCTTCGACCAGCAGCAGGCGCTGCGGAAGATTGCCGCCGCAGCCAGGTCCGCCGAGAGGCGGCGCGTCCATCGCCACGGCCCTTACACCAAGGCGCCTCTCGATCACGGCGACAGTCGCCGCAAGTTGGCGCGCCCGGGCCACCTGAGCAAGCTGCAAGAGCAGCTCCAGCGGCTGGCCGGGCCGCTCGACATCGGCGCGGACTTGACCGAGGCGGGCTCCCTCGCGCAGGCCCGTCGCCGTGCACTGCGCCTCTTCAAGCTCATCCTCAAGGAGGAGGCGCTCGTGACGACGGCGTCGGGGCGAGGCAGTCTGATCAGCGAGGCTCCGGAGCCGGCCGTCGATCGCGAAACGCTGCTCCGGTGGGCGTTTGCTGGCGCACGCTCGCCGCCGCCGAAGCTCGCAGCGGCGCTCTTCAGCTACGGGCCATGGGTGACGCAAGACGCCTTTGTCCAGGCAGTGGAGCGCTCTTACAAGGAGCAGCGGCTTCTCACCGCCTCCGTCGCCAACTTCGACCGGCTTCAGGTGATCCTGCTGCGCGGGCTGCAGTGTATCTGGGCATTCATCTTTCTGGTGCTCCTGCTGCGGCTCCCCTTCATCGATGTCAACCTTGTGAGCATGCTCATCCCCCTCACATCGGCTCTCCTCATCTTCTTCACCCTCGCGGGAGGTGTGTGTGCCGAGGTCTTCACCAGCTTCTTCTTCACATACGTCACGCGGCCATACGACATCGGCGAGCGCGTCTACGTTGCAACGCCCGGCTCGAGCCCCGCGCTGTCCTCGTTGATTGTCAAGGATGTCGAGGTGCTGCGCACGCACTTTCTCACCGCCAACGGCGAGGCGATGGTGGTGAGCAACAGCTCCGTCAAGAACATGGCGCTGACCAACCTGTCGCGCTCCGGCAAGCTGACGTTGCTCGTTCAGCTGATGGTGCCCGCCGCAACGCAGTCGAGCAAGATTAACGAGCTGCTGGATGCCATCGCGACGTTTGCGGTCGAGTCTGGGGAGTGGTCGGAGTGCGAAAATCAATTCGGCGAGGCGGCCCTCGACAAGGGGCACCTCCTCCTCAACATTTGGCCGACGAGTGTGCTCGCCGCCCACGATATTATGGGCGTGTACGGTGCAAAGTCGCGCCTGCTGCTGTTTGCCCACGCGTACATGCAGGCGGCAAAGATCGAGTACGTACTCCCCGTCCAGCCTCTGCGTGAGAGCGCGGCGCCCCGGACCGGCTTTGGCGGAGTGGTTGAGCAGGCACTGAGCGCGGCGGCGGTGGAGAAGCTCACAAAGAAAGGCTCGGCCGCCGGCAGCAACTTCCCATTTGGCGTTGCACGGGGCGCTAGATCGTGAGGGGAGCGAGGGGCCGCGCGCCAGGGCCAGCGCGTCGCGCGCGGCCTGAGATGGCGTGGGCTGAATACACATGCCACAACATGACATGTTGTGCCGGCAGGAGGGTGTGTCTGTCTTCTGTCGAGAACCCAGTAGGGCGTTCGTGCATGTACAGTGGACTCTCGTTGTCTCGCACAGTACTCGAGTAGGAATTCCATCCATGTTGTGAGGTTACAGGTGGGTGAAGCGGGAGATTCGCGCGAGCTGCGAATTCCTAGGAATTCCATTCACGTGCGTGTGAGAATGTTACCGCGAAACGCTCTCTCTCAGCAGCACTTTCACGGCAATCGGACAAAAAAGAAAAATGAGAACTCCCGCCGTCGCTCGCGATGATCTCGAAAATCGGGCAAGGGAAAAGTGCGCCACGCCGCCCCGCCTCCTCGCCTGCAGCCGCCTCCTCTCTTCGCGATGTTCGCTCTAGTCGTGGCTGTCGTCGTCGTCATCCTCGCATGCGTCGGCTATGTCGCCCGTCACAGATCAGAGGTGCTGACGTCAATCTCCTGCGCGGCAATCCGAGGCCTCGAAGCGCTCAAACTTCGCCGCGCCGGCCTCGTCCGGAGGTCCGTGCGCATGCGCCCTCCCGGCTACCGCCGGTTAGTGAGGGCGCACTTTCTGGAGCGGGCTACCACGACCTCCCCTGGCGGCAACGAGCGGGTTCTCCTCATCATCCCCGGCTTCACGGCTTCGGCCGCCCTGATCATGTCTGATCTCGTTTGGAAGCTGCGGCCGCCGCCTTCGTGGCGAGTGGTGGTCATGGAGCTGCCCCTTCACGAGGCCAACATCGAAAACTTTGACGGGGCTCACCCCGGCTGCGATACCATTCTTCAATACACAGTGGCGTTCGCCAAAGCGGTGGGGCTGCTGGGCGACGACGACAGCGGCCCGCACCTGCACCTGTGTGGGTACAGCCTCGGGGGAAGGGTTGCAATGGAGCTCCTTCAAGCGCATCCGGCGCACGTCCGTAAGCTTGCGATGATCGCGCCAGCCTTCCCGGAGACGATGGACGACGGCTTCGAGCGCTGCGCGAGAACGGAGCCGCGTCGCGTCCACGCCTGGCGGACGCGAGCAGAGCTCCGCGAGGTCTGCTCCTTCGACGGAATGATTGGCTGCCGCCCAGGCCACCTGCTCACGCACAGCCTCGTGCAGGGCGCGATGGTGCGCGACCGCGAGCAAACCTACGGCAGAAAGCACGGCGACTTCTTTGCCGACTACGTTGCGAGGCTGCTGCAAAAGGAGCGCGAGCCGAGCCCCCTCGACGCTGCCTCGCTCCACCAGGTCCGAGCGCCAGTCCTGCTCGTCACCGGCGAACGCGACCGGTGCGTCGATTCCGGAAAGTGCCGCGAGCAAATCCAGGACGTCCTTGGCCCGGAGCGGTGCGCGTTCCACGAGCTCGTCGACACCAGCCACTATGCCGCGCCGAACGCGGACGGGTGGCTCCCGGACGGCAACATCTTGTACAACGCGGCGCCGCTCTGTGCAAAGTTTCTGTTCGGTGAATAATTAATTGATGGCTATGTGGTGTGACCATTTGCTGTCCAGGCGAGCATGCAGCATCTGCAGCGTCGCGTGCGCGCGTGCGTGATGCCATGTTTGCGTTTCTCGCAGCCTTCTTGGACTTGGACTTGCTTGGTTGGGAGTGCAGTATTATGAGGCAAACAAACACGCACGCACGCAGTCAGTCTACAGTTGGTTGGTGCCCCTCCCCTGATTACTCCCCCCAACCCCTAGAAGAAAGGGTGCGCCCGAATCCACGGTCAAGGCTCAAGGGTGCTACTGGCGCCGGCGCACGGATCGTGGTTGCAGCATGTGGGACAGGAAGGTGTTCCCGGGCATTATAGTCCGCTATAATACCGCCATCTCCGCTCCGCCCAGAGATTATTAGGCGATTATATCCATAAGGGATTTCATTCCTTTTGGGTTTTGGAGATTCGTATTCCGTATCGTGTTTTGGTTTCGTAAATCCTCCCGACAGCGCGATCTTATGGACTCATGGTCATGCGGTCGCTAGCTTTCCTCGCCTACCTCCCGTGGCGCGCTCAAGCGACCCATGCCGTTAGAAGGCCTGGGAGGACTCTTGTGGGAGGGGTGGAGCTGTCCCGGACCGCGTAAAGTTGTTCTGCGGGGGCTCCGGCCTCCGCGGAGCTCCACACTTCCGTGAGAGCAGTCGTCATACGACATGCCCCAGACGTTTACCTTTGTGGGGTTGTGCATGGTACTGTTTTTGGTCCCGTTCTTGTGCAGCTCCTCGCCAACCTCGCCGCTCGTGATATTTCCCCGGGGACGCCGGGAGCCGAACCCAAAAAAACGTCGGGATGCCATGCCGAACGAAGGCTGGCTCAGCCGGAATGCCAGGAGCCGAACCAGCTTCACATCTATTTAAGCCGCAAGAAAAGAAACACATCGCCCCGCCCCTCTCGCCTCATGCCCGGCCGAACCGGCGCTGGCAAAGGGCGCGGACGCGCTTCGACGGCGTCACAGGCTGCGCCGCTCGCGCTGCCGAAAAAGATCGAAGCGGCGGCGGCGGACGGCAAGGCGGGCGTGGTGCAGACGTGGCTCGCCGGGGACGGGCGGGTTGATGCGACGTGCGTGCGTCGTGGTGTGAGTGGCTGTACGCTCCTGATGATCGCCGCCGCCCACGGTCACAAGCAGCTGGTCAAACTTCTGCTGAAGCTGGGCGCGAAGCCGGACGCGCAAGACAGCATCAACGTCACGGCGCTGATGTCCGCCGCCCACCAAGGCCACGTGCAGGTGGTCGAGACGCTTCTGCAGCACGGCGCGGAGATCAACCAGCACAACAGCGCCGGCAGCACCGCGCTGATGTACGCTGCCCACAACGGCTACGAGCAAGTGGTCGACTTGCTGCTGCGGCACGGGGCGGAGGTCGACCTGCAGGACATCGACGGCTACACTGCGCTCGCGAGCGCCGCCTACTACGACCGCCCTGTCGTCGTGCTCCGCCTGCTGCGGGCGGGCGCAGACATGGCGCTGCGCACTGCGGACGGCAAGACGGCGCTGCAACTTGCCAAGGAGAAGGGCCACACTGAGTGCGTCGCCGCCGTCAAGACGTTTCTCGGCGAGGTGGCGGCGGAGAGGCGCGACGCGGCGGCGGTCGAGGCGGGCGGCGCGGGCGGCAGCAGCGGGCCTGTTCCCGAGGACATCGGCGCAGGCGGCGCAGGGACGGACGGCGATGCCGCCTCGGGCAAGGGGGCGGCGGCGGCACCAACTGCCGCGTCCTCTTCCGGCGGCGTGGAGAGCGGAACGGGCGAGGACGCCGTCCCCGAGGAGGTCGTGGAGGCGGCTTGGCAAGGCGGCGAGGCGGCGTTGCTGGTGTGGCTCGACGGCGGCGGGCGGGTGGACGCGGCTTTCACTCATGAGGGTGTGAGCGGCTTTACGCTGCTGATGGCCGCCGCCCTCTACGGCAACGAGCAGCTGGCCGCAACGCTGCTGCAGCGTGGCGCTTCGGTCGACCTTCAAAACAGCGTCGGCAGCACCGCACTGACGTACGCCGCCCTCAGCGGCCACGAGCGGGTGGCCGAGCTGCTGCTGCAGCATGGCGCGGAGATCAGCCAGCAGGACAACGGCCTCACCGCGCTGATGTGGGCCGCCCACCAGAACCACCCCGCCGCTCTCCACTGCCTGCTGCGGGCGGGCGCCGACACGGAACTGCGCACGGTGGCTGGACTCACAGCGCTGCAGATTGCCAAGGAGGAGGGCAGCGCCGAGTGCGTGCGCGCCCTCGAGGAACATGAGGCGGCCCAGAGGGCGGCCGAGAAGACGGCGAAGGAGGCGGCGTGGGCTGCGGGGGCGGCGGAGAGGGCAGCGGAGCGGGCGGCGGCGGAGGCGGAGGCGGCGCGGCACGCCGAGGAGCTGCTGGCGGAGGTCGAGGCGGAGAAGCGCGGCAAGGGCAAGAAGGGCAAGAAGAAGAAGAAGGGCGGCGGGAGCGGCGGCGCTGGGCCGTCGCAGGAGGCCGAGGCGCCGTCAGAGGCAGCCGCAGCCAAGCCCGCGAAGCTGGACAGGGAGGGGTTGATCAGGCTTCTCGAGACGCTCCACGAGGAGCGGATTCGGTACGGCATCACGGCGGAGACGTCGGTCGCGGGGTTGGCGGAGGCGTTGGGAGAGGAGGCCGAGGAGGCGAGTGAGGCGAGCGAGGAGGAGACGGCAGAGGCGGGTGAGGAGGCAGCCTTGGTGGCAGCGGAGGCGCGCCGGGAGGCTGAAGCCGAGGCCGACGCTCTGGCAGCGGCAGAGGAGGAGGCGGCCGCCGCGGCAGCGGCTGCGGCTGCGGCGGCTGCGGCGGCGGCTGCTGCGGCGGCGGCAGAGGCGGCGGAGGCGGCGGAGGCGGCACTGGCTGCCGGCAAGGCGAGGCGCGCGTCAGCGGCCGCCACGAGGGCCAAGGCGGATGCAGACTAGCCGCGCGCAAGGACAGCAATCAAGTACAGTGGCGCCGGCGCACGGATCGTGGTTGCAGGCATGTGGGAGGAAGGTGGGAGGGGTGGAGCTCGTTGTCCGCGCACGCACGCGCGCGCCGTGGTCTTGCGTCTTACCTGGAAGGGGCTTGTTGGGGGGGCTCTGCGATGCACAGGGAGGAGGCCTCACGCCTCACGCCCCAGATGAGTCGTTTACCCGCTTCTCGACGCGTTTGTGGGGGGCTGGGGGGGGCGTTGTCTGGTACTGGCTGGTGGCTGAGTTCACACAGCGATTGTGTAGCTTGTACAAAGCTCCTAGCGCCACGCTCTCAAGACAGCGTGCAGTGTCTGCAGAGTGCAGAGGGCATGTTGTGCGAGTATATGGGACAAAAGCGTCGAAAATGTCCCAAAAAGCGTGTCTCGAGTTTGTTGCAGCTCCGCAGCCTGCGCGCGCTGCCGGGACGCACCGCTTGCTGGATCTGTGCACTCCCTGGGTCCCAAGGAGTGCACAGATCCAACAGGAGTGAGTAGGCTCGACGCTGTACTCGAGATGGAGCTGCAGAAAGTACGCCGCCGAGCGTGCCACCGAAGGCGTTCCGTCGGAGGTGATGGAGTGTGAGACCTGAGGCTACGGAGGTGACGCCTGAGGTACCGGCCCGTGCACGGTGACTCAGCCGGCGACCGCCACGGGCTCAGACGAGACTTGTCGACGCGTTACGGCTCAGCTTCACCGTGGTCATCGGGCGTCTGTCGACGTCAGGACCACCCATACAGCTCGCGGGTGTGAGGTCGCAAGAGCCAAGATGGTGGCGTTTGGACATCCCAGCCATCACACAAGACAGCCTGTAGGTGATGGCGGGACGGCGCAGTGTTTGTGGCACTCGGCAGTAGGCACCCGCGGCACGGCCCCGCTGTCGGCTCTCGCGGGCTGCGGAACCGGCCCCAGAAGGGGACGGTCCGGGCGAGTGTGGCAGCTCCTGCGCTAGTATGGGCACCCTCTATCATAGCACTACTGATCCTGGTCATTAGAGCTGCCAGGAATAGCGTCAGGAGCTTGTAGGAGTCAAAACCCCTCATATTTGAGACATCGTGTCCCATATACTCGCACAACGTGCCAGAGACCGTCCACCCCAACGCCCAAGCCTATTCATGATTATTAGGTAAGGTAAGGTCATCCTTTGGCAGCTTGTATTGTTTGTTGAGTATGAGATTGAGCAGTCATGACGTCTGGTATCCATGAATATGAATACTCAAGTCTGCCTGTACTCATGAATATGAATAAATAAAAGGCTCTGCATGGGTCTCCAACGTAGTTTCTTTTTGGAGACACAACAAATCTCTCTCTCTCTCTCTAGGAGACCAGACCTTTCGATGGTTCATGCTTTCTGTGTCTATCTATCATGCTTCATGACACAGCTGCAAATGGTACAACACGTCGGCTTGGGCAAAGGCCGCCCCGCAATGGTCCGAAGCGCAGCTCAAGCAACCTGCAGATCCCACGTCGAGCAGGCAGGGCAAAGCACATTTCATGGCGAGGCAGCCAAGCAATCCACCGTAGCATTGCTCACATTGCCTCGGGAGCTTTGTGAACTTTTCGGCGAAGCAATCTTCGTCGAGGCCACAGTCGAAGGCTGCCAAGCGGAACCCCTCTAACAATTGTGACCAACTTCGGTCTGTGCAGCTGAATGGTGTGTTATCGTCCCTCTTGGCGGGGCATGCGCCCTCGCCTGGAGCCTTGCCGTTGCTGGAAAGGTGGCTCGTGAGTAGCCTGCTTGGCGCACGGCTGATCGCTGGGGAGAGCGTGGCGGCCAGCAGAAAGGTCGTTCCCATCTGGCCGCGGCGCTCGCGCGAGATAGAGGCCGAGGGAGGGCAAGAGAAGGCTCGCCCGCGGCGATCGCGTGAGACGACCGCCGAGAAGAGTTTTACCGCGCAAGAAGTTCTTTTTCTTCTGTGGCGTACCTGTGTCGAACCTGTGTGCTGTGAGAGAGAGTTCTTTTCGTTAAATTCTTTTTGTTGAATTTGAATTAAGTAGCGCACAACTCGGTCTGGAGTCAAAACTTGAGAAACAATCCGAGCCTCGCCGATGGGTAGTTCCCGCGCGTGGGTCGCCTTTCGCGCTCCTCCTGCGGACCTCTCAACGCAGAGCACGGGCCTTCAGCCACGCGGTGCCGTAGACATGCGCGGCCCAGACCTCGCTGCCGCCACCGTCCTACCATCGCACTCGGGACCCCCCCCGCACCCTCCCAACGCAAGAGTACAACGGCATCCTCGAGTGCCCGTGCACGACGCGCGTCGTCAAGGACCTCACAAAGGGCACTCTCGACGGCCGCCCCTTCCGGCCGGGCTGCACCTCCGACGAAGCAAAGTCCGACCTTCTGGCGCGCGGCAACCCGACCTGCAACCTCTCGAGCTACGCGGGCGGGATGGAGTGCTGCCGCGACGGCGCCGTGCTTCCCGACGCCGACCTGGCGTGAATCGCGCCTCTTTCACGCCTGCTGCCGTGAGCAGGCGCCGTGCTGCTCGACGCCGACCAGGAGCAGCCGACGCACGTCGACGAGGTCTTCTTCAAGTGGCGCTTCTACCACGAGCCATTCCAGCCTTCCAGGCACACACGCCTCGCCCACCGTGAGCGGCACACGCGAGTCCACGACACGCCCACGACACGTCCACGACACGCCCACGACACGCCCACGACACGCCCACGACACGTCCACGACACGCCCACGACACGCCCACGACACGTCCACGACACGTCCACGACACGTCCACGACACGCCCACGACACGCCCACGACACGTCCACGACACGTCCACGACACGCCCACGACACGTCCACGACACGTCCACGACACGTCCACGACACGTCCACGACACGCCCACGACACGTCCACGACACGTCCACGACACGCCCACGACACGTCCACGACACGCCCACGACACGTCCCACCGCAGGCACACGCCTCTCATCCACCTGGAGTGGGCTGTCAACGGGTGCGACTCGGGCGGACCGCGCGGCAACCCGCGCGACTGCGCGCACATCGAGTACGATGTTGTCAAGGCGCCCGCCCCACCGCCCGCCGCCCCACCGCCCGCCGCCCCGCCCCTCGCCCGCTCGCCGCCCACCCGCCGCCGCCAAGCCCCGCGTGGCGTGTCCATGACAACAACATGTCCGAGACGTGCCCCGATGTCCGCAGGCGCCCGCCGGCACGCCGGCCGACAAGGCGACGCACACTGTCACCTCTCACTTCCAGCTCCGGGACATGCTCGCCGAGGACTGCGACTCGCTTGGGGACGAGTATTGCGCCAGCGCGCGCGTGGCGGAGGCGCGCGGAGGCAAGGTGCGCCTCCTCCTCCGCGCACCTCCTGTTGGCCTCGCCCGCCACCGCCCTCACCGCGGCCTGTCCGTCGCGGCGGCTGCCAGGTGCGACTCATCATGGCGGGTGGCCACTGCCACTCGCCTGCGTGCCTCTCGCTGCAGCTGCGGGACCGCGACACGGGCGAGCTGCTCTGCGAGGTGACGCCGCGCCGCGGAAAGTCGGACGCGGCTTGGGACGAGGCGGGATACCTGTGGCTGCCGCCCTGCCAGTGGGGCAGTGCGGAGGAGGGTCTCCGCCCGCCGCCCGTCCTCGGCCTCGACGCGAATCTGACCGCCATCAAGGTGGCCAACGCGACGGAATACCACTTCGGCGTGATGGGAATCTGGCAGATGCGCGGCGCGTACGGAGATGGAGACGGGAATGTGGGGCCTCGGGCCGCGTGAGCGTATACGTTTGGCTTAGTACGTGGTCAAAGAAAAGAGGGAGAGCGACAGGGCGGAGACGCTGCTGTTGCAACAGCCAACGCTCTCGCCGCGGTGTGCTGTATGTCGATTTGGCGGTGTGCCAGGTGGCGAGGTGCCACTGCCAGCACGGCGCACTGCGCACACCTTTCGTTCACGGACCACAACAGTCGATGTCCGTCTTTCGAGCACAGAGAGTGCGCACACGCGCCGTGCTGGACACGCCTGCCGCATGTGGCTTGTGACACGAATGAGAGCGAGATCACATGCCTCCACACACATCTGTTCTGTGTCACGCGAGCTCTCGCTAGCAGAGTAGCACGCTCGGGGGTCGATCCCCACCAAAGTGAAAGAGGATCAAACCGGACGTGCGTTGCTCCGTGTTTTGCACGCCCTCCAGAGCGCGAGCCCGGTCCACCTTGAAGCGCACGCCAAGAATGGCCAGGCACCCGAGGCAACCGAGCGTCGCCTCTCAGGAAGCGGTCTTGACTTCGTTGACGCGGCTAAGGGTAGCCGAAGCGGAATGCGCCGCGCTGAGGCTCACCAGGGCGCTGGTAGAGGGGCTCGTGAGGATTCCACGCCGCGCCCATCGGCCCGCCTCTGCTGAACTGCTGAGGCGGAAGTTGGCCCGAGGTGCGAGTCATCTGCCCGTGCTGGGGGTGGGGCGGCAGGCTGCGCTGTCGCTGGTCGTACTCAAGAAACAGGCGGTCGGCGCGCGACTTGGTCACTTGCAGCTGACGCGACATGGTCGATAGCTGCGTCTGAAACTCCATCTCCTTCCGCTTCGCCTCCACCTCCGACTTGCCGAGCATGCCGCGCATCTCGTGGAACTTGCCCTTCCACATGTCAGCAGTCGTCTGCGCCGGGGCCAGCTCCGTGCGCGCCTTGCGCTCCTCGGACCGCGCGAGGAAGAGCTCGTGCTCGAGCCGGGCCTTGTCGCTGTGCAGCTGCGTCACCTCCTCAAGCCGCGCGCGCATCATGAGCCGCTCCTCCTCGAAGACCTGAAGCCGGCGCTGAAGCGAGATGTTTTCGTTGCGTGCGGCGGCGAGCTGGTCGGAGGCCGCGGTCTCGCACGCGGCCAGGGCGGTCGTGTCGCTGTGGACGGCAACCATGGCGACGTACTTCTCGAGGATCGCGTGCTCCCGCGCCCGCATCGCGGTGGACTGCAGCGCCTGCTCGTTCTGGTGCGCGATGAGCTCCTGCGCATCCTGCCGCTCACGGTCTCGCGCCTCGAGCCGGGCGCGCATCTTGTCGTTCTCGTGCTGGAGGGAGGCATGCGACTGCTGCAGCGACTCGAAGCTGGCGACTAGCTGTGCCTGCTCGGAGGCCATTTTCTCGTGACTTGGAAAGTGCCGCCGAGAGAGAAGGCGCGCCGTCAGGAAAAATCATACTGCGTTGCGAGACGCCATGGGGCTCCGAACGCTCCCTGTCCGATGTACCTACACGCGAGACATCAGCGCCACCGTCTCGTTTCTTGATTTCCGCCGGGAGCGAGGGCGGGGCCATGGGCGGGGCAGAGCCAGAGGCGGACCAAAATTCCAGACCAGCGAGAGAGTGCACCACATCGCGTAAGTCGTAACACTCGTACACTGCTCTATAGTAGAACGCAAGTCTCAGCCAAGGGTCTGAGCAGACCATTTCTGGGCGAGGTCAACCCGCTAGGGCTACAGCACCCAAGAGCCAGAGTCATCTCATGTGCTACCATCAAAGAGCAGCGCCATCAGCCGGTCGACCTGCTGCAGCAGCCCGCCTTCGGCGGCGAGCCCCGCCCTCTCGTTGGCCGCCGCCACCGCGGCAGAGAGCGAGGAGTCCGGCTCGAGGCCGAGATGCTCGCGGATCACCGCCACCTTTTGCACGAGCGTGGTGGCGCGGCACGAGACGACGCCAGGGGCGGCGGCGTCACTGTCTGACGGTGGAGCGTGGAAAGGGCGATCGCCGCCAGCAGCGGAGGCATGGAGCGGCCCAGGGGGCGAGGCAGCTGGCCGCGCCAGCGCCGCAAGCTGCCACACGAGCGCCTTCTCCCTGGCCATCGCCGCCCCCTGGCGCGCCCTCGCCTCTGCCGCCTCGCGTCCCGCCGCCTCCTCGCGCCCCCTCGCCGCAACCTCCCGGGCTCTCGCCGCCTCCGCCTCCGATCTCGCCTCGTCCGCCTCTGACCTCGCCGCCACCTCCTCGGCCATCGCCGCCGCCGCCTCGGACCTCGCCTCCGCCGCCTCCAGCCGCACCCTCGCCAGCAACTCCTCGAGCTGCTGCGCCTCCCGCTGTGGCGCCGCGGCCCGCGACGACTCCTCCCTATGCGCCTGCGCCTCCATCTCATCCACCAGCGCCTGCCGCGCCGCCCGCCGCCGCTCCTCCTCCGCCGCCCTCGCCGCCTGCTGCCGCTCGCTGCGCGCCTCGCGCTCCGCCGCTGCCTCCGCCGCCGCCGCAGCCCTCGCCGCCCTCTCCAGCCGCTCCTCCCGCTCCCGCTGCGCCGCCTCGAGCAGTAGCCTCGCCTGCCTCTCATCCTCCTCCGCCCGCTCCGCCTCCTCAGCCCGCCTCGCCTCCTCGAGCGGCGTCACGTACTCCCCCTCGCTCTCTGCGGTCGAATCGTGCGACTCCGCCTCCGCCGCCTCGGGCGTGTCGCCGCCTGCCGAGCCGTCCTCGGAAGGCGTTGGCGGCACGGCGCTGGAGGCGCCTGCCCCCATCCCGCTAGTCTGCCCCGCTTCCGCCTCCTGCGCAGTGCCTCTGCTCGGCTTGCGAAACTTCTTCTTCTTTCTCTTCTTCCCCGCCTCCGTCGGCGACGGTGCCTTGGCCGCCGCCTCCTCCTCCAAGAGCTCGGCCGCCAGCTGCTGCCGCCGCTCCGCCTCGGCTGCGAGCTCTTCCGCCGCCAGCGGCGCTCCCGCAGCAGCCCGCTCCTGCTCATCCCTGCGAGACGCGAGCGCGCGCCGCGCTCGCAGCTGCGCAGTGGAAAGCTCCGCGGCGGCGGAGCGGGCGGGTGGCTCAGCGTGGCTCAGGTTGCTCGCGGCGCAAGGGATTCTCTGCTCACCGCCCGGCTGCATCACGTCAAGCCACTCCTTCGCGCCGAGGCTACGCCCGGCTGCATCACGGCAAGGCCCAACAACCTCGACTTGCATGCCGTAGTCGAGCGAGAACTTCCCAAGCTGGTAATCTGGGCCTTTGTAAAACCGTGCCCAAATAAATAAATAGAGCAGTCATCTCCCGTAGAGATGGGCAACGCACGAACACAGAGGTACAGTGCGCACCCCGCCCCGCTCACAGGGCGTGCATCACACAGGTGGACTGTGTGACTCCTCGGGTTCTGGGGACTCTTGACAGAGGTGTGCTAGTCACTATAGTCGGACGGTCCCGTGCCCAGTGTCGTGCGATGGAGCACTTGGAGCACTTGGAGTGCAGTCGGTAACCTCACATCCAGGGCCGGGGAGCTAAGAAGCGCACCCAGCGGGCCGGATGATCGGGATCGGGTTACGGGCTAGAGAGCCCTAGCCCCGGGGGTGCGCATTCGCAGGGCAAGGGCCTTAAAGTAAACACGGGTCTCCGAGGGTTGGTTCTGCGCTTTGGGTGTCCCCTAGCGGCGGAACGCCCCCTCTACTCGGAGCTAGTAAACACCAGACACTAGACACGAGCATGACGTACACTCTCACCCGACATCGCCACTCAGGGCTCCTCCGCCCGATCTCTCCACCCCCATCCGTGGTAAAATTCTTTTCGCCTTGGCTGCTTGGCCGCCTCCGGCTGCTGCGGGCGACCGCTCTCCGCCACCTCCCTCGTGCACCGGGACTCCGGGGCCGACCGCTCCGCCAGGGAATGTGGAAGCTGGATCTCCTCACTCGCTTGCCGGACGGCAAGGTCGGGCCCGAATTGTCCGCCCTGTGCCCGGCAGGAGCCCGAGTCCTCATCGGCCGGCGGCTCTCCTGGACGCATCCGCCGTCAGGAGCGGCCAGCGATGAGCCGCCATCAGGAGCGTGGCGCCTGGACGACGACGCGCTGGCGACCGAGCAGATCGTGCTGCGCCTGCCGAGTGCTCGTGCGAGCGGCGGCGTGGTGCCGGTTGCGGCGCTCCTGCCCGGACGAAAGCATTCCTACCTGCAAGTGATCGGTCGTGACATCGTCTCTCCGATGCAGCCCGGCGAGCTGTACCCGCTCGGCGATGGCGACATCGTGTGGCTCGTCGGCGACCCGTCGGGCCACCATCGCCACCCGATTCGGATGCGGCGCGCCCCGCCGGACGATTCACCTCGTTGCTATCCCGCCGCAGCCACGCTGCCGGCCGAGCCGTCAGCGTCGGCGGCGGTGCCCGCCGGGGGTAGCGATCTCTTCGCGCCGGCGATCGCCGCATTTGCGCCCGCGGCGCCGCCCGGGGCCTCTATCTCCCCGGGCGAGTGGCAGGTCTGGCTCGGGGGCAAGTATTGCTCGTACGATGAGGGCGTCAACGCGAAGCTTGAGGAGGCGCTGGTCGCGCGTGGCAAGTCGTCGGTGCGGGTGCGCGTCGGCGGGAGGGCATATCTTGTCCGCCGCGCTGAGGCAGGAGGCGACGCGGAGTTTGAGCAGGTCCCGGTGGGCCAGCCGAGCAGGGCGCGCAGCGTGCGGCGCAACGAGGTCTCCGCGCCGCCGCCCGCGCCGCCGCCCGCGCCGCCGCCCGCGCCGCCGCCCGCGCCGCCGCCGCAAGACGCGCCCGCGCCGCCGGCTGAGCCGAGCGGGTCGGCGGACGGTCGGGCGATCGCCGGCTCCTCTGCGCGGGCCGAAGGGGCTGTCGCAGCAGCGGCAGAGGCAGCGGCGGCAGCAGCGGCAGCAGCGGCAGAGGCGGCAGCGGCAGCGGCTGCCGCGCCAGTGTTTGCGTATGGCCGTGCGCCGTCGACGCGCGGCGGCGCCCTCTCCCGCGGCGTCGAGGGTTTGCTCGAGGCGCGCGGCTCGCTCCACGAGTTCGAGTTTTCGGGCGCGCCAGACCTGACGCCGTCGCGCGAGGACCCGTTCCTGCAGCAGGTCGTGAACGGGGCCAGCCACGCCGCCGCCTGCTTCGGGCCAGGGCGGCCCCTCCACCTGGTTGGCCACTCCGCCGAGGCTTTCACAAGTACTGATGAGTACTCATTCGTTCATCAGGCGGCCCCTCTACCTGGTTGGCCACTCCGCCGGCGCGAGGGCGGCGCTGCACGCCCTCTGCAGGCCCGACATGCGGTCGCAGCTGCCTCGCTCCTTCACGGAACCGTCCCTGAGCGGTATGTTGAAAGTAGACTCGAGTCGCCTCCTTATTCAGTCGTCTGTCGAACAGGGGCTGGTTGCGTTCGCCGTCCCGCCCGCGCACGCGGCGCACAAGCGATCTGACGAGTCGCGGCTTGGCGCGAGATCGCCCGAGGTGACGTCGAGGGACCTCGAGCTCGTAGGCGCCAAAGCTATTTCATTTCATTTCATTTTCTTTTCTTTTATCGTCGAGGGAGCGGGTTCGTAGGCGCCAAAGCTCGGCGAGCTTCCACCCGGCGACCGCGCGCTCCTCTTCGCCGGCGCGCGCGGCGGGGCGGTCGCGGCGACCGAGGCGATCGAGCGCGCCGTCGCTGCAAGTCCTGCCGCCGCCGGCCTCGCCCTCGTCCAAGTCGACGGAGCGGACGGCAGCTTCAAGTTCGCCAAGGGGTCGGAGGCGGCCGGCGTCGGCGCCGTCGGCGCCGCGCTCGACGCGTTCCTCGCGCGAGGGGCGGGGAGGGGGGCGGCGGGGGGCGGCGGGGCGACGAGGGGGGCGGAGGAGGGGGGAGGCCGCTTTCGGCCGGGCAGCCGCGTGGAGCTCAGCGGGCTGGCGACGGAGGCGGTCAACGGCTGGGCACTGGACACGTCCGGGACACGTCCTCGACGCGTCCGAGACATGGCCCATACTGTAGGAGTTCAACGGCCGGCTGGGCACGGTCAAGCGGAGGGGCGGCAAGGGGGGCGGCCGTTGGGCGGTGGTGGTGGACGGGTGGGCTGAGAAGCCGGTGCTGCTGCTCGACGCCAATCTCACGCCGCTGCCCGCTGGAGCGGAGGCGCGAGTGGCGGAGCTGCGCCGGCGCGGCGAGAGGGTGCGCCACACCCCAGCCTCTTTGCGGGCATGGAGACCGTGGCATTCTTGGTTCGTCAACTCACCGTGTCATTGTGATTCCAATAGGTGCACCGCAGCCTCTTTGCGGGCATGGAGAACGTGGAGGGTGAGCTCCTATTCCTCCAGCGCCAGACCGCAGACGAGGTGCTCTCCGCTCTCGATTACAGTCTTCCTACCACCATGCCTTTCGCATAGTCAGTGTTGTTGTTGCTCTCGTCGCGCACTGCTACTGTTGTCCTTCTGCCCACCTGAAGGTGCTCGACGCTCTGCCGAAGCTAGACGCTGCGAGGCGGGCGGGCGGAGGCTGCTGTGGACATGTCCGGGACACGTCCTTGACATGTCCGAGACATGTCCCACAGGCGGGCGGCGAAGGTCGGCTCTGTCGAGCTGCTGCGGTACCAGTTCCTCCAGCAGATCTTCAACGAGCGCCTCGAGACCGCCGAAGCGGAGGCGGAGGCGGCGGAGGCGGCGGAGGCGGCGGAGGCGGCGGCGGAGGCGGCGGAGGCGGCGGAGGCGGCGGAGGCCACCGGCGAGAAAGCGAGAGATTCCACAGGAGCCGCTTCCGTCGCCGCTTCCGCCGCTGCTTCCGCCGCCGCCGCGTTCTCGGCGGCCGAGCGCGCTGCCGAGGGAGAGGCGGCCTCCTCCGCCTCGCAAGGCATCCTGCGCGAGGAGATTGACGAGGTCGAGATGGAGGCGGCGGACGGCACGGCGGAGGACGGCATGGGGGCGGGTTTGGCGGTGGACGGCATGGAGGTGGGCATGGAGGTGGGCATGGAGGTGGGCATGGAGGTGGCCTCGCCCTGCGGTGCTGGCGGCGTCGCCGGCCGCTTCCCGAGCGATCGACAAGCAACGGCACCGGCAGTGGCGCCGGCTGCAGCGAGCGGCGCGGGCGGCGCGGGCGGCGGAGGCGGCACGGGCGACGCGCGGGCGGCGGGTAGCGAGGCGGCGGCCGCGTCGAGTGACGGGCTGGTGCCGGATCGAGACGCTCTGGCTACTCTTCCCCACTGCCTGTCTGCCGACCCACGGCTTTCGATTAGGCCCCGGTCGAGATGCTGCTCATCGACATGCACGAGCAGCCAGACGGCGCGGTCGACCTCTTCGGCGTACTGTACCAGGAAAGTACCGGGAAGTTACCTGGAAGTGACTAGGCGCGGTCGACCTCTTCGGCGTCGACGCGGCGGGCGGGTCGATACTTCTCCGCGCCGGCGATTGCCACGTCCGCTTCGATCACACCATCCCCGCCGCGCAAACCTCTTGTTTTATATCCTAGACGGCTTTCGCAACTTCTTCTACGTCCAGCTGGCGGCGCCGCCTCCGCCACCGCCGACGGTGGGGGGCGCTGCGGGGGCCGCCGCGGCCGTCCTATCCGCCGCTGCGCTAGCCGCCGCTGCGGAGGTGTGGCGGCATTGAAAAGCGGGACACGTCCGGGACACGTCCGAGACCTGTCCGAGACCTGTTCGCAGGTATGGATGCACGGGGCGCTGCGGCGGCGCATCCTCGGCGCCCTCCTCCCGCGCCGGCTGCTGCTGCACACCGCCGGCGCTGTCTGCCGGGCGTGGAGGGAGAGTGCCGCGCCGCTGCTGTGCGATGCGGTGCTGCAGGCGCTGCCGTCTGCGCTTGCCAAGCCGCACGCGTCCGCGCCGCCGCCCGTGCGGCTCCGGCTCGTCTTCCGTACGCCGCTGCTCGCCTACTACGGCGAGACGCTCGCGCGCGGCCGCGACGCGGGAGGCGACCCGAGTAAGTGGCGCCCGCCCGGCCCCTTGCGAGGGAGGGACCGGTCCGTGCCTTGGCTCCGCGTCGAGTACGCCGCGTCCTGCAAGCCGAAGGAGCTGCTGGCCGAGCTGCAGGGCGTCTATGAAACACAATCGATGAATAATATGCATTGAATTCACCGCAGGAGCTGCTGGCCGAGCTGCAGGGCGCGGCCCGCACCCACGCACCCCTCCAGGGGCTGCTCGCCCTCACCTTCCCGCTCGAGGAAAAGAGCGGGTGCCAGGTCGAATCCTTGGGTCGCACTGCGCTAGTGACGGCGGAGACGAGCCTCGCGCCGGCGGGCACGTCGGCGCTCGTCCGCCGCTTCGCCATCGAAAAGAGCCTTGCGGGCGGCAGCTGGGTGGTTGCCCGTGCGGCGCGGGCGCACCTGCCGGACTCGCGCTGCCGGGCGACCTTCCGAGCGCCGCACGAGCAGGTGGCCGGCAAGGCGCCGGATATCCTCGACCCGACGCCGCAGCCCGAGCGGTGGGCGGGCATACCTCCCCTCACCGCGCTCTCCGTGCGCGTGATGTCGGCGCCTCTCACCGAAGTGCAGTGGGAGGGCCTCGGTGAATGAGTAGTCAGCTGCTGGCAAGCAATACACAGGCGCTCGGCTTCACCGACGTCCAGTGGGAGGGCCGCGCCGAGGCGACCTCCGCGACGGCCGACAGCGTGCGCATGATCGCCTGCGAGCTGCGGCGGGGCGACGCCGTCACCGCCACCGTCCTCGCTCTCGACCCGGCGAGATGAGCAGAGATGACGAGAGAGGAGGCGAGAGTACCCGGCGGCGGCGGCGGAGGTGGAGACCTCCCGAGATGGCCCGAGATGACCCGAGATGACCCGAGATGAGCCGAGATCTAGGCGGCGGCGGCCCGCGGCCGAGGCGGCGCGACGAGCCTCCCAGCCGTGGGCGGGTCGGTGCCGCCTCTCACCCTGCGCGCCTTTGCGGACGAGAAGAGCCTGCTGCTTGCCTTCGAGCGGCTGGTGGCCGAGGAGGCGGGCCCAGACGTGCTCCTCACGTACGACGCGCGCGGGGTCGTGCCTCGCTCTCCGGGCGGCGAGGAAGAGGGGGCAGGGCAGGCCCTCGAGTTGGTGGAGTCCGGTGGTAGGTCGGCCTGCTCGCCGAGCGGTCCCGCGAGCTGCGCTGCGGCGGGCGGGGCGGCAAGGCGAAGGGGAAGGCGCCCTCGCTGCGCCTCGGCCGGGAGGGCAAGGGCGAGCTCAAGGTCGGCACGGTCATCACATACGGCAAGCAGTGGGTCAAGACTGGCGGCCGGCAGCAGACGGCGGGGAGCCGCGAGACGGACTGGGCGGGGGAGCGGGAGATCGGCACCGCTCAGACGAGGTCGTAGGTAAGTACCAGGAGAGTACCAGGAAGTTACCTGGAGATCGGCACCGCTCAGCTGAGGTGGTCGGCCCCGAGGCCTGTAGGCGGAGAACCTCGAGACGCACGAGGTGGCCGGCGTGTCGGGCCGCGTGACGCTCGACCTGCTGCGCGCGCTCGTCTGCCACCAGGCGCACAAGCTGACGACCTACTCGTTCGCGCAGGCCGTCTCGGCGGTCCTCGGCGAGACGACCGAAGAGGTGCCCCCGCCCTCCGCTGCTGGTATGAGTCTCCTCCGCCGTCCTCCAACCCTCCTTCGTCCCAGGTGCTTCCCCCCGTCCTCGCGGCGTGTGGAACTGTGCGCGCCGCTCGTCACCTCGCCGCCCAGGCGCGACTCGGGCACTCTCGGGCACTCTCGGGCACTCTTGGGCACTCTCGGGCACTCTCGGGCTCTCTCGGGCACTCTTGGGCACTCTCGGGCACTCTCGGGTGGGCTCTCCGCCGGCCAAGACAGCTCCGAGACACGCGCCGCGGTGTGCATGCCGCGTCTGCATGCGCGTGCTCTGACGGGCTCGCGGCACGCCCCCAGGCGCGGCTGGTGCACCGGCTGGGTCGCGCGCTCAAGACGCTCGAGGAGACGGTGGAGATGGCGAGGATCACCGGGCTTCCGCTGCGCACCATCGCCAACCAGGCGCAGGGAGGGCTGACACCCGAGAAGCGGCTGCTGGGCTTCCTGCTGAGTCAGTCTCCACTGGCTCCTCAGGCGCAGATGGTTCGGACCGAGAACCTGCTGCTGCGCGCCGCCCGCTCGCAGGGGTGTGTGCCGCACCATCGCCCTCCGGCTCCCAGATGAACCGAGATGAACCGAGATATGAACCGAGATGACGCGAGATGACGCGAGATGACGCGAGATGACGCGAGATGACGCGAGATGACGCGCGAGGTTGCCCCGAGATCAGGTACGTGCTGCCCCTCGGCCGCCCGCTCCCGGCCAACCTGCGCTGGGCGAGCGCCAACATGGTGCGCGACGCGTGCGCGTACCAGCACTGGCCTTGGCCGTGGGCCGACCTCGACGCCGAGCAGCGACTCAACGTGCAGTGCGGCGTCGCCGGCCACTGCTCGCGCACCGCGCTGCAGCGCGACGGCACCGCCGGCCTGCACGCGGACCCGGTGGGCGTCGAGATGAGCCGAGATACAGCCGAGATGTAGCCGAGATGCAGCCGAGATGCAGCCGAGATATCACTGCCGGCCTGCACGCGGACCACCCAGCGGGCGGCCAGACGGCCGAGGCGCGGCAGAGAGGTCCCGCCGAGTTGCGCACGCCCTCCCCCCCTCGTACCCCCCCTCCCCTAACCACCCCCTCCCCTACCCCCCCCCCCCTCCTACCCCCCCCTCCCCTACCCCCCCCCCCCCTCCCCCCGGCCAGGTTGCGGTCCTCGACTTCGCGTCGCTCTACCCGTCCGTCTTCCTCGCCAACAACATGTGCTACTCCACCCTCCTCCCGCCGCACGCGCACGGCGCGGCCGGCCTCGACTCGCACAAGACGCCCGACACGGTCGGCCCAAACACACGCGTGCCGCTCGCCGTCGGCGACCGCGACACGAGGGACTGGAGGGGCGACGCGATCGCCTTCGTGGCGGCGGAGCACCACGCCGGGCTGCTGCCTCTGCTGCTTCAGGCGCTGCTCGTCGAGATCCAGCCGAGATGCAGCCGAGATGCAGCCGAGATGCAGCCGAGATGCAGCCGAGATATGGACGAGAGGTGGCCGAGAGGTGGCCGAGAGGTGGCCGAGAGGTGGCCGAGAGGTGGCCGAGAGGTGGCCGAGAGGTGGCCGAGAGGTGGCCGAGAGGTGGCCGAGAGGTGGCCGAGAGGTGGCCGAGAGGTGGCCGAGAGGTGGCCGAGAGATGGCCGAGAGGTGGCCGAGAGGTGGCCGAGAGGTGGCCGAGAGGTGGCCGAGAGGTGGCCGAGAGGTGGCCGAGAGGTGGCACGACGTGCTCGACGCGCGCGAGCGGCTACAGTACACGCCCCAGCGCGTGATCCGCGCGTCTTCAGACGTCGCGGCGTGAGCAGGCGCGCCAGCTCAGCCTTAAGCTGCTATCCAACGCCTCGTACGGCTTCACTGGCGCGGACACGTCGCACCTCTGCTGCAAGCCGCTCGCCGAGGCGTGCCTCCGCATGGGAAACGCGTATACGCGGGCGGCGTCGCGCTTGGTCGAGGAGGCGGCGGCCGGCGGCCGCATCCCGGGCGCGGCCGTCCTCTACGCCAACACCGGTCCACGTGCCAAAGAAGGGCTCGTGCAGCTCCGCTGAAGCATCACTCACGGTCGAGTGTCGTCCCTAGACTCCGTCTTTGTGGCGCTCCCCGGCCGCACCGCCGCGGCGGCCGTGCAAGAGGCGCGCTCCATCGCCGAGTTCGTCTCCGGCCAGCTGCCACCCGCCCTCACGCTCGAGTACGAGAGAGTGCTACGCCCTCTAGCTGTGAACAGCGTCTCTTCACTCCTCCAGCTGTGAGCAGGTACGAGAGAGTGCTCTGCCCCCTCCTGCTCGACGCGCACAACCGGCGCGCCTGCCGACGTGCCACCCCGGCCCCGGCCCCCGACCACGTGTCCGCCCTCGCTTCCCCCCTCTACCTCCCCCCCGCGCAGGTACGCCGGTGCCGAGTACGTCAGCGGCCTGGAGCCGCGGCCGGCGCTGCACCAGAAGGGGCTCATCGAGCGGCGGCAGTGCGCCTACGTGGCCGACGCGGTGCGCGGCGCGCTCGAGCGGCTGCTGGTGGACGGTGACCGCGCCGCGGCGCTGTCGTACTGCGAGGCGGCCTGCAGCAGGCTGCTGATGGGCGAGGTGTCGGAGCAGCTGCAGCCGCTGGTCGGATAGCCCGCAGTCGTGCCCTTGTGTGACACGTCCGCGACGTGTCCCGAGGTGTCGTCGCACTTGCTGGTCGAGGGAGGCTTTGTGAAGCGCGCGGACCAGACCGACTTGTGCCGCATGGCGGGCCTGGCCGTGCCCGAGAAGAAGGGGTCAGCCAAGAAGCTCAGCGCGGCCGAGCAAAAGAACCAGGCGGCGGAGGACGAGACGCTGCGCAAGGAGAACGCCATCAGCCTCGCGATCGAGCTGCTGCAGCGGAGCGCGACGGCGGACGGGCGGGCGACACGCTCGTTCCGGCTCGGCGAGTTTGTGCCCTTCTGCGCGGTGCGGCGGCAGGGCGGCGGCGGCGGCAAGCAGTTTGAGAACGTCGCGTCTCCCGAGGAGGTTGCGCGAGATCACCCGAGATGGTCGGAGGTGTGACGAGATGGCCCGAGATGACCCGAGACACCCGAGACTAGGTTGTGCAGCGCGGCACGCCCGTCGACCTGCGGCTGCTGTGCGAGCGGCGGCTGCTGCCGGCGCTCATCGGGCAGGCGATCACCCGAGACCACCCGAGATCACTCGAGATCACCCGAGACCACCGGCGATGAGCGGCGACTACCCGAGATGACGCGAGATGACCCAACACCGGCGATCCTCGGGCAGGTGCGCGAGAGCAGCGGCAAGGCGACCAAGGAGGCGGACCTGGCCGACAAGCCGGCGCTGCTCGGCCGGATCCTCTCGCACAAGGAGCGTCAGGACATGCGGTTTGGCAAACACACGCGCGCCTCCTCGCCGGGCGTCCTCACCACGCCGGATGGCTGGCGGCTCTACGGGCTGGCCGCGCCGCCGCCCGAGCCCGCAAGCCAGAAGAGGGGCGGGCAGAGTTTGCTCGGCTTCACGCGCAGCGCGGCCGCTGGAGACGGAGGCGGCGGCGGCGGCGGCGGCAGCGGCGGCGGCGGCGGCGGCGGCGGTGCGATGGGCGGCGGTGCGGTGGCCGGCGTGGGCGAGGAGAGCCTCGAGGCGGCGGAGGCGGAGGTGGCCCGGCTGACGGCGGAGCGCGAGAAGATCGGCGCGGCGGCCGGCGCCACGGCGGGCGAGCCGCCGCTGCTGCACAACCACGCAGCTGCTTTGGCCAACGCGATGCGGCGGCTCGACGCCGCCCGACGCAAGAGCGGGCGCGCGTGAGGGGAGGGGGGGGACGTCTCTCTCGCGGATCTCGCAGAGAGGCACGTACAAGTGGTACACGGTCGAGACGGTACAGGTTGGGCAGGGTCCTGCCTAGGGCGGCCGGCGGCCGGTGACACTACGTATCTTCTATCTACGTTTCCTGTGGCAGAGGGCGAGAAAGTCGTGGACTAGTAGAGGGAAGACAGCCATGATATTTCGTTTTTGCCCCTCTTGAGACTTGAGTGAGCGGGGTTGAGGCTTGAGCGGGATGCGGTGCGTGGGCCGTGGCGTGGCTCTCCCCGGGAGACGAGATGAGTAATTACACCTTCATGATGAAGAACAGCTAGAGGCGTGTGGCTGGGCAAGAGAGCGCAGCCGTAAGAGCGGGACGGACTGCGCAGGCACACTCCCCCCCCCCCCCACCTCCCCAACTCATGTCTCAGCGCGCAGAAGGTCGCCACCTCATACATGCACCAGAGCCGCGAGCAGTAATTCTCGTCCCAGAGGATGAGAAAGTTTTTGGAGCGCGCGATGTACGCGCCAAGTTGGTGGATCGAGTCCTGCATCAGCGACGTGTCGTACTGGCACATGCAGCAGCGGTCGAGGTAGATCTTGCCTGCCTTTCTGGTGACGCTCCACGCGACTAGCACAAACGCCGCTGGCATGACGATGGCCGTCCAGCCTTGATTAATTACCACAATGTCGGCCTTGCTTGCGCCGTGAGGCAGTGACCACGAGACCAGCCGCAGGTCGAAGTGGCGTGCGACCACGGCCCACAGGAGCGGCAGCACGACCGCTGCCAAAAAAAGCCGCCGACGCACCATGTACCACGCCAACGCGAGCGCGCGCGCCCAGCCAGGGGTGCGCCATGAGTGCGACACGAAGGTGTCGATTCTTTTCGCCTGCTTGCTCATCGCATACATGGCGTGCGGATCCTCGGTCGCCGACGAGAAGATGGTCGGCCAGATCCCGAGCACTTTGTGGGAGCTGGTAGTACGCATGAGCTCGGGCTTATGCAGCGTCAGACCCAACGCCACGCCCCACGTCTCAGGCACCTCGTCAGACTTTCGCAAGCTATCGCGCTCGCTGTCCTGGCGTATCTTCTGCGTCATGCTTCTTTTCAGCTTCACGGGGTCATTTTGGGCAGGTAGCAGATTTGGCGCAGACCTGGCGCAGACCTGGCGCGCGACTTGGCCAGGTAGGCCACAGATGGCGGCGGGACCGTCGGGCGTTGTCAACATGCCACAGGGATCAGTCAGCGGTCACCGCTGTATTTCATGCAATGGGAACACCGCTGTATTTCGGATCCTAACTCGGAGATCCGTGTGTGCATGTGAAGAGAAGTGGGGAACGGACCTTTCAAACTCTTGGCCGCTCTGTGTATCTCGAGAACCTCGAGAGAAGGCCGCCCACAGGCCTTCTCCCCCGAGGGCCCAAGCCGAATTGGCTTTCTTTTCGGCGGGCAATTCAAACTCCGTGTCTCGGGCGAAAATTCGGGCCATTCTCTTTCTTTTTTGAGCTTAGCCTTCGATGTTATGAAACAACGCAAGGCGGACATGGCATATCGCTCTCGGGCCCACAGACATCCCGCACACTCGCCGCACACCCGCCGCCCCCGCGCGCGCCCCACCCCGGCCGGGAGAAAGGGGAGTGACAGTTTGGGATGGACAGCCCGAGTATGTTGAGTCCTGGCTCAACAACGCAGGGAACAAGAGGGGGTGGTCCGGCTCACAGGTCCGGCTCACGCGCCTCGAGCTTAACATCTACCGCACTGAACACTTTCGCCCCCTCGCTCCCAACCCATCCACCCCGCCCCGGGCCGCGCCGCGCGATCTCGGGCGATCTCGCGCGATCTCGGGCGATCTCGGGGCCGCGCCGCGCTATCTCGGGCGATCTCGCGCTGTCTCGGGCGATCTCGGGGCCGCGCCGCGCTATCTCGGGCGATCTCGGAGCGTCGCTCGCGCGGCGTCACACCTGCTCAAAAAGGAAGGAGGTTGGAGGCAGGAGGTCACGCCCCATCCAGAGCGCCGTCGTCGCCGGGTTTTTGGCCCCCGGGTCGTCGCCCGACGGTTGCTGCGCGGGGCAGCAGACCATCGCGCGGTGCGATTTCTTTTTTGCCGCTGTCCGGGCCGAACAAACCCACCTGCGCCGCGGCACCCTCGCCTCCCAACCAACTCCCATGACGTACGTGACCCACCAGTCCATCGCCAGCCGTATGTGCGGTGGCCTCTGCGGCTCGCTCTTTGGCGTCGCGATTTACCTTCTGACCTTTCTACTCGCCGGTTGGAACGAAGGGGCCTATATCTCTGGTCTCGAGGTGCTCGAGCACGCCTACGAGGTGGTGGACGAGCATCCGTGCAACGCGGCGAGCCTGCCGCAGGACGGCTCGCTCGTCTTCCTTGAGGGCTGCCAACTGGCCGGCCTTCCAGAGTGGCCGGCGGGCGAGTTCCAACTCAGCGGGCCTAGGACTGGCGCGTGGTTTGAGACGGCGGTCGAGATGTACCAGTGGAGAGAGGTGCAGCACTCGGAGACGCGGAAGGACGCGGTCGGAGGAGGGAGCACAACCGTCTATTGGTACTCGCATGAGCGTCGCTGGTTCTCCACCGCTCAGCCGTCTCCACAGAACTGCGACCAGAGCCGTCCGACGGACCCTTGCATGCCTTCGACGGCGTGCCATGCAGGGCAGGGCCACTGCAACCCGCCCCTTCCGGCGTCGCCGCTGAGCGGCAAGCAGACGGCGCAGACCGGCGCAATCCGCGTCGGCGAGGCGGCGAGGCTGAACAGCGCGCAGCTGGGGCAGCTCAAATCCCGTCGCCCCCTCACGCCGGCTTCAGAGGTGCTGCGAGGCGAGCCCGCGACGCTGCCCCTCGCCTCGCTCCTGCCCCGAAACTGCCGCTGGGACGGCGCTTGGGCGACGAGTGCGCCGCCAGGTCAGAGCAAGGGCGGCAGCCTCCTCGGAACCTTCTCGGAGCCCCTTGGAGTATTCTCGGAGCCTTCCCCCGTATAGGCGGGCCTCGAGTGGGCGACACGCGCGTGCGCTGGGCCGTCAGCGCCGCTTCAGAGGCGTCAGTGCTCGCTGCGGTCGGCGCGGGCGGCGTGATGGTGCCGTGGCGGTCGGGCGTCAGGGCAAAGGTCGCCGGGCTCAAGCAGACGCTCAACGAGCTTCGCGAAGGCGCCGTCCCGCTCGACGAGTTTTTCGACGCGTTGCACGCTGAGGCGGCTGGCCAGGTCTGGGCCCTCCGCTTCCTCTCGCTCTTCCTGTTTTGGCTCGGTCTCGTCCTGTTTACGCGGCCGATTGCGATCGCGCCCGACTTCGTCTCGTGCATCGGAAGGTTTGGAACCTTCTCGGAACTTTCTCGGAACCTTCTAGGCGCCCGACCTCGTCCCGTGCATCGGACCCGCCATCGGAGAGCTCGGTCCGCCTCGGTCTCTCTCGCCGCCCTCGCCCGCTCATCATGAATTGAGGAGTCACAGGCGACCTCACGGGCTGCCTCCTCGCCCTCGCCGCCCTCGCCGCCGCGCTCACCACCTCCCTCCTCGTCACGGCCTTCTTCTGGCTCAAGCCCCTAGATGTGCAGACACAGACTGCGGCGTGTACCGGTTAGCGACACTCGAGAGTGACACGTCCTCGGCTGCACCCAGCTGTGTGTTCACTGTGT